AGAGCGGGTGAAGCAAACCAAGGACGCGATCGACCCGGAGAAGAGTGAGCATCTCTACATGGTGAGCGACCTGGCGCAGACAGTGATCAGGAAATGGCAGGAGCGGAAAGGTTGGGGCTTTGAAGCGTACGGAAAGAAGATTGGGCTGCCGACAGGTTTGTTCCTGGCGCTGCCTAGTCATGATGCCGCGCAAGAGGTAGCAGACAAGCAGTATATACCCGATGGGGTGGATGCGAAGGTGGATGAGTTTCTCAGAATTCTGGAACGCAAGAAGGTACGTTGTGGCCGCCGCCGCCGCCGCCTCCTATCCGGGATATTTACCACAGGGGCGATTTCATGCATTCACTGACATTTCCGCACAGAAACGCAAGTCTATGGATGAACGCAACGACAGCCAACCGCCCGCCAAGAAGACCAAAACGCCCAGGCCGATCCATCCTAAACCATCAAGGGCTGGGAAACAAACTACGCTAAAGAAGGCGGCATCGAAGGCGAAGACGCCGGCGAAAGCGAAGAAGCAACGTGCGTCGTCACCGGAAATTCCAGAATCCGAACGCCGGCGAAGCGGTCGTGCCTCGGGAAGAAAGAGCACAACCTATATTGAGCGGGACTCGGACGACGATGACGAGGAAATGCTCGAAGGCGTGGCGGAGTGGGACTACGGTGATGACGCTGAAGAGGGCGAGGATGGATCTGACGGCGACGAGCCTCAGCAGGAAGACGAGGAAGCTGAGGAGGAAGCCGAGCCTGTGGACGAGGCAGATGCTATGGATGAGGATGAGGATGTTCAAGGAAACGAGGAGGAGCCCGAGGAAGCGAGTGAGCTCTCGGACCCACCTGAGGAAGAAGAGGAACCGCCGGCCGAGGCGAATGGTCGAAGGAGTGGAAGGGCTGCCGCAAGGGCACAACACAAGGCTGAGGAGCCCAAGAAGCCGACTGCAAAATCCAAGGCTGCTACCGCGGCTGTCGCTGCTCTGCCGACCAGGAGCAGATCAGCGGCGAACAAGATTGCGGCAACCACAGCCGCTGGCAGGTCGAGGAGGGCCAAGGACGTTTACAAATCGTGAGGATTAAACTTGCGATGTCGTTGAGCTAGGTGCAAGCAAGGGGATTTGGTACTGGTATATCGTTGGGAGATGCTGATGCTATGGATAAAGTATCGACCAGTGCAATTTTGGTTGGGCCAGTTTGGTTTGGAACCTATTGGCGGCTTTATTCCTCTTCCTTGCCTGGGATCCCCCCCCCCCCCCGGGACCTTTTCCTGGATGGTACTTTGTTCTCTTTTCTTTATCTTGCTGCTTGTGCGTGGCCCATGACAGACGCTATGAAAGTTCCATGTTCATATTCTCTTCCTATTCTGTAGGTGGTGCTGATGTACAGTTAGCTCATTTATATACCCTTGCTTTTTTGTTTCTTGCGCAGTCTGCATTCTTCAGTTGACATTGACAACAAAGATTTTTTTAAGCATGGGGAAGATATTGTGCGAGTGTGTGCTGGCAGGTTACAGTAACACCAGTGCAAGGTCATACTCATTGCACAGTCACGACAGCTCTCTTGGCTGTCACCCATCAGTAGTAAAGAGATATGGTGCATGCAAAGCGTAGCTGTTGAAAAGGAATTTTACCTAACCCGCCACCATAGCAAACTGCTCCCAATCCCAGTTAGTCAAGTACTTGTGTACTGTACCATAGCAGTGAGCCCGTATTGAGACCGGCCAACCTCCAATGCCTACTACCCTCAAGGTAAATTGATTGTAGGTTCAGTTCAGCCTTTGTGTGTTTCCACGGCAGTGACCTTTTTGCATATTTGGGGCAGTAATACTACAGGACTAGGTGCATGCACGTCAGCAGCAGCAACAAGCACAATCCATGGTAGGCAAGCCCCCATGCCCAGCGGCCGCCACCTTTTTTTTTTCTTTCTTTTGTTCTTCTTCCCTCCCCCTCTTCTCATCGTCCAATCATTTGTTTCTCTCGTTGCTGAAGCTGAAGGAGGGGCGGGGGCCGGACGGCTATACGGCACCAAAGACAATGATGACCTTTTTCTTCAGTGTAGAGTTATACAAAGTAGCAAGTATCAAACAGTATGTCGAGTCTTGGTTTTGATTCCGGGAGCCAAGGGGGAGCCCACGCACAAACACCAAGTTGATCGGGTAGATAAGTAACAAGGCTGCCGGTGATCTGAAAACAAGTGGGTTGGCCGCTTTCTTTCCTCAGCAGAGAGTGGGAGAATATGTGACCTCATTATAATGATCCATTTTGCATCAGTTTCAGCTCATAGGCGCTTTAGTACAGCACATGCTATCCAAGTACTACTAGTGTGCAATCAAAACATGGCCGCACCATGGATGGATGGATGGATGGATGAGATGGTCTGGAAATGCTGGCCTGCTACTACCCTGTGGGGATGATGTACATAGTAGTAGCAAAGCCCTAACGGCCACCCCGTCCTTTTCTTCACCAACCTCCATCGTCTATCAACTAAAGCAACCCTGTATTTGTTTCATCCGTCTCACTTGCCTCGTGGTGGAAGGATTGCACAGTACTATTGTAAGGACCCAAAATAATAAATAATAATGAGTGGGTGAGAGAGAAACAGAGAAACAGAGAAAGAGAGAGAGAGAGAGAGCGCGAGGAGGGTCACGGCCATTGTCAGATCAGGATTTGGATCCTTTTCGAGACTTGCCCAGTTCAGTTCAGTTCAGTTCAGTCCAAGTCGGCGCCTGCCTTCCTTGATTTTGAACCCAACCTCCCCGTCCATCCTTCCTTCCTCTCTCACACTCACTCTCTTTCTTTCACTGTTTCCCAATTCGACGATCTATTCAATTCATTTGCATCCATTTGGGTGGCCCGTTGTGCAGCCTTTTGATCGTATCATTTTGACCTCCCACAAGGTCTCAACAAGCACAGTAGCACCCCATGTCAGGCTCTTTCTACCTTGATTGATATCGGCCTCCTGGGGGTTTCGTCATCGTTTTGGTCCCAACCGCCTCACACACACGCCATAAACTTGCACACATTCTGTATCTCCTCAGCTTCTACTGCACACTTGCTTTCTGGAAGTAGTAGCCAGCCATTCAAGCAGCCTGTACATCAAATTGCTCTGCTCTCCCTTTTCCCCTCACAATGCCACGCTACGTTTCCCCTTCGCGGGAGCCCTCACGCGGACGGGACCCTTCCGCCTCCCGCTCGCCCTCTCGCACCACGTCATCCCGCGCCGGGCGCCCCTACACAGACGGCGTCTACACGCCCACCTCGAGCGAACGCTCCTACTCTACCTCGCCTGTCCGTTCCCGCTCTCGTCGTCGCGGTGCTGGTGCTACGACGAGCCGCAGTCGGAGCCGGAACTTCCAGAGCCGGGACAGGGGACGGGGCCGCTCAGCATCTGCCTCGTCCGACTACCTTTACTACTCAGGCTCGGAAGAAGAAGGAGAAAGACGACAAGGACGGGATGGACGCTCGCACAGCCGCGCCCGCTCAACAAAACAGGCCGCCAAGGAGCGCCTGTCGTCCATCCTCGACACGAGCGGCAACACTAAGCAGGAGAAGGCCGAAAACGTCGTCAAGGCGTCCCTGGTCATGCTGGGTGCCATCGGCGCCGCAAGCCTGGCCGCCCACAAGTTCTGGCCCAAGGGCATCACCTACGGTGACAAGGACGACTGGGAGATGGAGAAGGAGGACGACAAGCATAAGCTCAAGAAGAAACTCAAGGAGGGTCGCGACATTCTGGAGGGCAAGGCACCTGGCGGTAGCGGCGGAGAGGGGGAAGGCAGCAGGCAGAGGATGAGTAGGAGGAGGAGGGGAAGCGAGGGCGACGGCGATGGTAACGACGGCGATTCCGGCCGCAGACAACAGTACCTCCGCGACCGCTACCAGCAGCGCCCAGCCCTCCCTCAAAACATGGACGGCGACGAGGGCGCACAGTTCTGGGACCGACGCGCCAGGATACCAGGTCGCCATCGCTACTCGGCTAGTTACTTGCCCGACGATGGCGACGCGTATGACCAGCGCGGTGGCGGTGCTGGTGGTTATGGCGGGCGGTACGTCGAGCCGCCTCCACCAATGCGCCGGCTTGAGCCTGCTCCTCCCCCGCCTCGTGTGCCCGCACCTCCTCGAACTTATGCCGACAGCGCACCGCTCGTTGTGCCTGCGGGTGCGAACTACCGAGACGGCCGTGAGGGAGGTCGAGGCCGTTATTATGTTGATGGAAGTACGATTGTGGTCCCATCGTCCAGTGAAAGGGCCTACGTGATTGAGAGAGGCGCGCCGCCCGGCCAGAGGCTCAGGGAAAGGGAGCGGGATGGAGGTTATTATCGGTGACGAGGTGTAATTGTTTCATTTATGACTATATGAGTTACGAAGCTTGCGCGATGCTGTGATAGATGATAAGATGGATACATATGGTCTTGGAAGGAAAGTATTGGGCAACGGAGACATCTGGGTACTTGAACGAATAAATGGTTTAAAGATTGGGAGCGACTGGTATTTTGGATATGAGCGCATCACTATGTGAAGAGCGGCGGGTTGATTCGATCGTCAATGATAACACAGATGGTCTTTTACTGTTTCATTCCTCAATCTGGTATTCCCCCACCATCTATTCAAACCCCCTCCCCCCCCCGGGGGGGCCCCCAAGAGAGGAGACAGAATCTGGGGGGGGAGGGGAGGTTTCATTTGTCTAATCAAGCAACAAGCAATGCCAAAAAGCAATTTCAATAAACGCATTCCTCCCCGCGCCGGACCATGTCTTTTCATCTGTCGGTGAAATGCTGTGCACGTACCAACCTCCCCAACCAAGTCCCATCCTACAAGTCGCAGTTTATATGCCGTATATCAAATTTCCAGGCTCAAATCTCCCCTACAGGACACTCATAGAAGGACGCTGCGTCTCCCACATGAGACTGAAGTCGTGCTTTTCTAAGAGGGTCTGTACCTCTAGAAAACAATGCAGTTGATGGGGAGATGGGAGTCCTGAAGGGTGCCCAAGACAAAGCCACTTTGTCTTCAGTCCACCTCTGTCTCGCCCGAGCTGCTAGTCGCTTCATCATCGCGGCTGCCAGCGAGGACCGTCTGGGAGCTCACATCTCTGGCGGAAGTCGACCCCGAAGCTGAGTCTGTCAAACCCCCAGAACTGCCCAGCCTTGCCTCCCTGGTAGCAGCATCCCACCCCTCGCCTGCCGTGCGCATGACGAGGACCCCGTTTAGGTCGGCATCGAACCACTTGTCCCGCCGTGTCGTGGTCCTCGAGCCGCCTTCCAATGCCGCATGCGAGGCCCTTGTCTTGCGCCTCTTGGTGCCGCCTTGGCTCAACAGGTTGCTGAGCTTATGTCGCTGTGCTTGAAGCTCCCTCTCAAACGAGACAATACTTCGCACGTACGGCGCTACGTCAATAGCAACATTGGCCAAGGTGCCGTCAAAGACCGAAAAGTCTAGATTCGTTGAAGAAGTGCTACTTTTGTCGGAAGTGGCGAGCGTGTCAAAGGCGTCGCTGAAATCGTCGCGGGTGAGAGCGGCCGGTACGCAGGCTGCTGTCGGGCGTTGCCGAATCTTGGTGAGGACTCTGGTCTCATCGAGGGGTTCCAGAAGGGGAGATGGTGATCCAGGCACCGAGACTCGCAGATTCTTTCGGGCAAGGCATCTCAGGTTGATGGGCAGCGACGTTGCAAGTGGGTCGTGGGTTGAGGCAGCAGATGCGTCCAATAGCTGCCGACCTAGGATGTAGTCGTTCCGAGTTCTGTCCGTAATCTCAGGCAGAGTCCAATCGATTGCTTCCTCAAAGGAGGTCGCAAACGCCAAGGAGGACGACAAGTCAGCGACACTCATCGCATCAGTAAAGCCTTCGTAACTCTTCAGGGCTGCCAGTCGATCTTGTGGCGAAGCACTATCCTGCTGAGCGGCCCAAGAAGTCAAATCGAGGGATTCATGCCAGTTGCCAATGTCCATCTGCCAACAGTCCCGGGCTTCATGGAGGAGCTCTTCCTCACACTTCGCAGTATCCGTCTCGAGCGCCAGAACATCGTGGGCAAGCCACCCTAGCCCTTCCACGTACGCATCCTGGCTGATGACCCGAACAATATTCCCTTGCTCATCGATATCGCAGCCTTTTGGCCAGCGCGGATAGAACCAGGCAATACCTCCACGTCTGTCGCCAACAGCAAACTGACACCAGTAATTCAGGTCCATCAAGCAGGCACGCAGATCCTGCTCACGGGCTTCGTAGAGTGCCTCAACTGCATTCCGGCGCAAAGCATGACCCTCACAAGCCGCAATCAGAAGCATGCGGTCCACAACCAAATCAACCGGCGGTGTGCTGAAGCGAAAGATCCCATGGAGCTTCAGAGCTTGCAGAGGGACGAGGTTCTCGTCACTGCAGGTCATGATGAAAGGACGTCTTGACTGTGCGATGAGAGTCATGACCGTGCTCCAAAAGTTCTTGTCTTCCTCGTAGAGGATATCAACCTCATCCAAAAGAATCAAAGACTGCTTCTGATGTTTTGGGCTTGTTTTCTTCGGGTCTGCCTTTGGCAGTGTCGACAACTCTTGCTTGACCACCTTCTTCGGCTTGGCTGGGAGAGGCGTGGTTTTGGCTTTGAAGAACGAGTTCATGGTCGCCTGTTTTCCCGACTTGATGTCCTCGGCCACTGCTTCCTCGTTGACGGAAAGACTTGAAGCGTCTGTCTGGTGGTGCTGGACTAGATGGTTTCTTGTCATGTCGCCAATTTTCTCGAGAACGTCCTTGCCGCTCCTGCGACTGCCCGCATTGATCTCAAAGACCTCGAATCCCAATTCCTTTGCGATAGCGTAGACCGCTGACGTCTTGCCACAACCGTGTGGACCGCTTATGACAACCGCGTTCGTCAATCGTCTGGAATCCTTGGGATCCCTCGTCAAGGCGTCGCCGGCACGAATAACCGTCTTCTTAGCGCAGCGTCTGTCTGGCGACCAGTCTTCCCCAGAATCTGAAACCTCGTCCATTGTGTCTGCTTCTTCATCACTGTTCACAATGAAGCTATCCAACTTGTTCTTCTTTCGTCGCTTCCTGGGTGGCTTTGTCGACTTGACCGGCTTTGCTTTCAAATCCCCCGTATCCACGGACTGAACTTTGAGCGCTTCCAGCCAATCTCGTAAGAGAAAAGCCTCTTTGCCGTACTGCAAGACTTCTGCTGCAGATTTAGGAGTATATTTCTGAGCCCAGCACGCGGACTCGCATGTGAACCTATCAAAGGCAGCGAGAGATGTCACTAATGACACCCGCAGCTGAGCCAAGGCTGGATGTTGTGCATGTCTTACTTCGCGCAAGATGCGTTTTTCGAGCTTTGAACCACTCTCAAAATATTTTTGAGGCAGACGAAGCCCTGGAGGCGGCGGCTGGAAAGTGTCGTCGTCAACGGCCCTCAGGTCATCAAGAACCCCAGGAATCTCAAGTCTGGCCGCAAGGTCGTTCAAAATCATCTCCTCGGGGCTGATATGGATGATTTTGCCTTTGCATTTTCGAGCGCTTACTGAATTTTCAGAGATATGTGGTAGAGAGAAGGCATCATCCTCGCCTCTAATATGAACCATATCTTTCGGCGGCCAAACAGGCAACCTCGCACCTGGCGTTTTGAGACCCAAAGATTTCATACCGAATTGAGGCAGAGGCATGCTGGACGGTGCAACTCGAGTCTTTCTTGGGGAGCATGGAGTGGAGCTGAAAATCTTTGGCCGCGAGGAGAGAGCAGCTGGCTTCGTCTTTGTAGCCTCTGTGGCTTTTGAAGTGGCCGTTGCAGTCGGAGACGAGGCACTCGTCTTTTTTGGCTTGCCCCTGAAGAAAGGATGTGCTTCTTTCTTGGGGCCCTCCTCGCTTATTTTCGATTTAGTGGCATCGTCCTTCCTACAACCCCGAGGCTGCTTTCTCATGTTCGTCTTTGGATGCAGACTTGGGTCGACCGGCGAGGACAGGATCGTGTCGATCTTATCACCTATGCGTTTTCTAGACGCGCCATCGATACCATACGTAATGGTAGCGATCCTGGTCATCCGTCTGTTTCGTTTAGAGGTATATGTGGTTTTCTGGTCCTCAGTAACATTTTCGTCTCTTGCTGACTGCTTGGAGAGTCTCGACCCCTTGGCCTGTGGTGGGGATCCGATGGTCCCTGTCTTTCGATTGAGCTGCAGGATTTTTTTGAGGGGAGTGCCCTTTTGGCCAGTCTGCTGTTCTGGAGCGTCTGAAGTGGTCTTGACCTGGTCAGGTACAGGTAAGTCATCCATGGGAAACCTGGCTGAGGGCGCAGGAGCTGAAATTGGAGCTGGAACCATGGATTCAGGTACAGGCGCAGGTGCTCTTTCCTCCTCTTTAGACACTGGTTGTGAGTGAGCTGCAGAGTGCACATCACATGCCACAGGCTCTACGCTCTGACTGTTGATTTTTGAGAAGTGATTCATGATTGAGGCTGATGGTAGAGCCTCCTTCTTTGTACTTCGTCTGAGCTTTTTGGTGCCTCCCCAATCCTCATCGGCCTCCTCTGCTGCCTTACGCCTCTTGCGCCCAGGCATATTGTTCTCTTGTTCTTCTATATCCCCACCTGTTTCTTGTACTTCGAAGGCTTCGGAGCGATCCTCAGACAGAGTATTCGTCTCGACGGGTTTGGAGACTCGGGGATCGGATTCGAGAGGTTTCGGCGCAGTGAAGAATGGATGGAGCTTCTTGGGCTCAGCAGGGAAGTTGCTGCCCGCCATGGCCTCGACTACAACCAGCCCCATTTGCCAAAACAGTGGTGATTAGACCTATGCCTGCAGAGAGCACTGCCTTGGGAAAGAGGGCTATCTGCGAGCCGAAAAGCCTCAATTTGTGGTGGTGCACACACGCTCAAGTTGAGGAAGCCATCGCGGGTATGCGGAGCGGCAGACGGATGTGGACAAGAAGTCTCCAATATAATTTTAACTTGATACTGCCAGACCAGCTCTGATGCTGAAGATATTGTGAGAGGACCGTGGGCTTGGGATATTGATATGTTCAAGGTGAGGAGAGGTTTTGAGGTTTTGAGGTTTGGAGTTCAAGGATTGAAGTGAGCCATACTGTGTAAGAAGTCGCGTTCGCTGCTGAGGCAGCGCGTCTTTGGATGGAGCGCGACTTCCCCCAATGCGCCGGGATTCCCTATGACGCCCCTGTTGCTGACTCGAGCCAATTGTGAGCACCGTCTCGACCCCACCTTCCTTCATAGTATTTAATAGTAGTAAGCCCGGCAGTAGCTTCCACCTCGACGAAGAGGGAAAAAAGGAACATCGTAATGCCTCAGAATGAGATGTTCTCTCCGCAATAACTGCTTGGAAATGATACGTGTGAGGTAAAGATTCAACATAAATTCTTACCAACCATCAATGAAACCATTACCATGTGTGCAGTACAAAGTATATGGGACAGGGATATGACAGGTACAAGAGTCCGCTAACCAGGAACCGATAAGCGATAAGAAAATGTTCCTTGTTCATCCTCAATTTTTTTCCCTGTCCCTATTTTTTCGAGTTGCAAGCAGAGCCAAGCAGAGTAGAGCAGCAGCTTTGCAACGCCCAACGCCCGACATCTCCCCCCCCCCCCCCATTCAGTGCCCCCTGACGGAGTCGTACGCTCACAATGGCTGCCACATTCAACATACAAAAGCCATACGTGCTTACCACCCTACCTCGACCTCTGAACCGCCAAGGCAATGGTAGCGCATATACTGTCGGCGATGTCTGGGGGCAACAACAAGGGTCCAAGAAGAGAAAGCGGCCAGAACTGGCTGTGGGCATCGACGGCGAGGCAGTCAATCTATACGATGTGAGTCGGCCACCAGACAGGGAAATTATGTGTTGAACAGAGCGCTGACCCCTTCGCAGATATCATCTCAGAGATTAATCACATCCTATCCGATTCCCCCTCAATCCGTCTTCACCTGCCCGCCTTGTTCGACGAGATGGCGAGTTGCAAAAAGCAGAGATGCCGCACGCTACACCTATGTCTCAACGAGGGACCCGAAGGCAAAGATCACCTTGTTCAAAGATGTTTTGGGAGCATCTGGCGACACCACTTCCACCATCGTGACCGAACAGGTGGACCACGCTTCTAAGCTGGTTCACTTGGGCACTACCTCGACCTCTACCGAGGATGATGCCAAGGCGGATCTATTGGCAGTCACCGAGGACGGTTCCGTCATGTGCTTTCAAGGCGAAGATCTGCGCAAGAGATGGGAGACGTCGCCAGAGATTCTCCGACAGGATCTGGCTTCCATTCCGAGGGGGGGCCGCCTCGAAGTCGAGCTCGTCCAAGCCGCACTGGCTAGCGACGTTATTGCTGGTTTCTTTGGCGGCAAGCAGGATGCCTTTGCCTCCCTTCTGCGAACGAGCCAAGAGGATGTCTCCGCTCAAAACATGCTTGTGCTCATCACGAAGACCGTCAGCGCTGAACAGGTCACCCGGCAATTGCACATTCTTGGAGTCGTTCCTACAGACCAACAAGTGGCCGGGAGGCTTGTGCAGGTTCACACCTCTCCCATACCGTCGGCTTATGCAGCATCAAATGGACCTGAGAGCCTCCGCTTGGATATAAACACGGGGTCTCTGATGGAGCTGCAAGAGGGATCTCTCGTCACCTACGACCTCACAAGGAGTCTAGCCAAAGTTGAATGCACACTCGAGGTCCCTGACGTCCGGTCATTCATCAGATTATCCAAGTCTTCTGTACTTGCTGCCAAATCAGAGACCCTGGACGTCTACAACCCGGTCTACCAATCGCTACAGGCATCTGCTGCCTTCGACCTGGAGTCAACCAGCAAAGAAGTGCATGCACCTACGATATCTCTCGTCGCATATTTTCCGCCGCTTGAAATAGCAGTGGCGATCTACGGCGCATCATTGGTCGCCATGCAACTCGAAGCACCCAGAACACGTGGCAAGAAACGTCGATCGGAGGGACTGTTGATCGACTCGATAGGTCGCGGAATTCCACAGTCCAAAGACATCAAGAAATTCAGGTCTGGTGCGGAGTCTGCGAGCTTCTCGACTAGCTTCTCTAGCAACCTTCCTGGCAGCGTCTCTGGCAATTACTGGTCCGATTTTACCTCAGATGTCCAGAGAGCTGATGAACTCCTGGCCGCAAATGATATTGCAGGATTTGAGGAGATCATTGCTGAAAAGTTCGGAATCGAGATCAAACCGGCGGGTGCGGCAAGCGGCACGAATGGCATCGACAATGAGCCAGTGCCAGACCAGGAACAGCCCAGACTACCAGAGTGGATATTGCCTGCCGCACGAACCAATTACCGGTACTCTGATCGCCGATGGGTTCAATTTGCAATCTCACGAGTGTTCGCATGGCGAGACACGCAGGAGTCGGGCACAGAAGCGACGAGACTTATCTGCAGGCTGCCACAGAGCAACCTCCTCACAATGCTGGTTGATGCGGGCCACCTTACCGTGTCAAATCTCAAGTCAGCTTTCAATGACGAGACACGAAATATAGACGACATCGACTTCATCTTTGGGGAAGAGCTGCCTCAGGTTCTGGTACAAGTCGACCCAGTCTTCGAGCTTCTCTTGTCGTACCTGTCCTCCACCAAACTGGGCGCCGTCGAGCTTCTCACTTCTGTCCGACTCATAATGCGCAGTCTCGAGCTGGTACAAGATCCCACAAAGATCGCACCGAAATTACTCGCCTTTGAGTCTCAAATGTCCGACGCTGCGGATCCGGACGATACCACCCTATTGGCAGACCAGAGCGCGATTGGCCATGAGCTGGAACGTGCGGTGCAGGAACTAGAGGCCGCAGAGTATTTCCACCTTGGTGACCAGTCACTCATCCGCGGCAGGAGCCTGAGTGTCGCGTTCGGCAAGCTCAGCAGCTGTCCACGTGTCTCCACGATCCGCGTGCTCCGCCGGAGCTACAAACCCGAGGAAATCCTGTCCCTCATCTACGTATTACGCATGGAACTTGTCAAGGACGGCTGGACAACGCGGTATCTCGACACGACGCAGCTAGACAGGGACGACGAGCTCGAGGCGCCGCCAGATGGGAGCATCAGCCTCATCTCTGACCTGCTCTGCAGGTGCATCGACGCGGTCGGGCCTGGAGGCTGGCTCATCAACGATGCGATTGTGGCGGCTGGGGCAGGCGACCATATGGATTCGGCAGACTTCCTCGCCTCGCTCAAGCTCGAGGTCAGCGCTGCGCTAGAGGGTGTACAAGAGGCCGTCTTCCTGCGGGGAATCATCTCCGAGGCGGTGCGCTACGGCAGCACCATGCAGAAGGTCGAGGCAGAGATGGGACAGAAACACAGGCGCGTGGATGGTGCAGCCCTGGTGCTACGTGGCTCGCCAAGTCTTGACAGCGGCAAGTCAGGCGCATCGTCTGCCATGTTGCCGCTGGGCATGAAGGCCAAGAAGAGAATCTCGGCGGAGAAGGTCGTCTCGGGTGGCGAGGTGGCCCGCAGGCGAAAGAGAGAGGTGGGGCACCTCCTCAGCCAGAAGGTCGGGCCATACTCGTTGGAAAGGATCAGCATATAGAGAGCATCACATCACTACGGAAGCTGGAAATGACGGTCGCAGTATGGCCTGCTCCGGCGGCGATGGGCAGATATGGCGAGAAGATGTCAGGAAGGTGAACAGCATTTCGACAGCCTTAGTTCAGTAGATGGTTGGAAAGAATTGATGACGCGACCTCTACAAAGTTTTCAAGGCGCTTCGCATTCAAGATGTTTGTATTTCCTCTAATGGAACATGTCTCTATATGGGCCCAGTATTGACTCCACATTACACGACAAATCACCTCACCTGGGCGAGCAAGGCTATCTGGAATTATTCGTCGGGGGTGAATGGGCGAACTTGCCGGGAAATCTCTTCCATGCCTTCCCCAATGTCTTCCCATCTTATGAATCGGACAAGGCGAAGCAGGACACGCATTCCGTCAGCGGAACACAGGACTCAGACATGGGCGAGACAAGGCCAGAGGCACGTCGGACGGGCGCGTGCACCGTCCGTCACAATATCCTGGATAAGCGAGTCTTGAGAGCCAAGGGGGAGCTATCCTCTATTGCCCTGGCCTCCAGCCCCTCACAACCCCAAAAAGAGATCGGATCGGTTCTACGGCAGAAAATCGAGGAAGTGGAGGAGAAGGAAACACAGGTGGTGGGGTCGTGAGGATGAGAATGAGAGAGAATCAGCCCCGATAGCCTACCCGGGTGAACTCGCACCAGCAGTATAAGGCCTTGTCGAGGCATCAGGTGCTACTCGCCCGTTTTTTCTTCTCTTCTGCACGCCGGCCAAGATGAGAAACAACCTTTTCCCCTAGCTCATTCCATGTTTCCGGTGCAAAGTTAGACCTGCAGACAAACAGCTCAGCGAGGCGAGAGGAGAGGTGATCACAGCCCATTGAAAATGGTACCATGCCAGTGCAGTGTGTAAGACTTTTGTTTGCACATCCCCATAGGACGACACATCTTATAAAGGCTCATGCCCTGTCTGTCCAGGTTTAACTCTCAAGCAATGCCCATTCAGGAAAGCTCATGATAGCCACTCGATGACTCCTTCTCGCCGGTCCGGCCGGGGAATGGAATGCCAAGTCAGCCGCAGCCCCTCGCAAAGCCTCTGCGCTAACCCCAAGTTCAAGAAGTCCTGCATCGAGAGACCTGGCTAAGTGAACAACAGTAGGAGCCGCAAACGATGGAGGGGAGGGGAGAGGAGGGGGAAGAGACGCTGGGCACTTACAACGACACACAATGGCACAGCCCGTCAGATCTTACAGAGGCATCACGCCAGAGGCACGTGGAGAAAAGGAGAGGATGAGCGAGCGAGTGAGCCTCGAAAAGCCCAGCGCTAGTAGGTTCTTGTCGCGTTCAAAAGTACGATTAAGCTTCCCGCCGCACGCCCGCGCTCTTGGTCCAAGCATTTAGTCCTAACGTCTTTCTTATGCCTTCTTGTGTAGGTGTAAAACCTGCTGCCTGCGGGCCACACGGGAACGGATCTCTCGGGATAGGGCGTACAAGTCCCGTGGTAGGAGATGTGTTTGTCCCTCGGTGAGGTAAACAGGCCGACCGAGCTCGAAGCTGTCGACATCTTTGTCCTATCAAGAAGATGAAATGATGTCGACTACTATATAGCATAACACTGTGCAGTGGATATGGGTGGGCGGGCGTTCAGATACTGCTTCCAAATGCTTCATTGGGACGTTTCTTCAGCCCTTCCAGAGCCCAACCCTCCCAACACATCTGACTTACTGAAAGCACCCTGACCACTAGAGCGCAGCCTCGAACGCGGAATTTGAAGACAAGAGAGAGTAAGCATGCCCCGTCCATGGTTCGAACTCGGGGACCCGTCCCGCTACAGCTTGAAGATCTGCCGTCAGCTCCGTCTCTCTCTGGGTCCACGTATGTGCATGCATGCGTCTAGAATTTTTTTTGGTTGTTCCCTGCATGATATGCAAAAGATCCCCTTTTCAGGCAGCCTTCCATAGAGAGTAGAGTTCGTACTACTGAATCGTGCAGCACACCACGCACATTCTTCCATTCGTGGCCCGCCCTGATACGGCAGTCCCCGCGGTGTACCAAAGTAGAAGAACTGCCATCCCCCCCCCCCAAAGGCAGCCTGGGCTTAGTAAATACATACTACCGTGGTTCTGCTATCGCGGGTAGGGGAATCTTGCAGGGAGGAAGGGAACATGAAAACAAAAAGAAGAAGGAAAAACATGAGATCCACATCGTGTTCCGAGTAAGGAGGTGGAGACGACCGACGACTTTGAGCGTATACTTTCCGAGTTCAGATGCATGTGAATGTGATATGTGCGACACAGCCGCCTCGTGTTTGAGGTGCGAAGATTTCTCCTTGGGGGGGACCAAGAGACGGGCAAAGACCTGCAGGCTCTGTCACGAGTGTGGCAAGCTAAATCTGCACTGCTTGCCCACAGATCTAGGGCAAGCAGGCAGTAAGCAGAACTCGGCGGTGATAGGCTTAGGGCTGGCCCAGCGATTTCGTACTAATGGCTGCAGAAGTATGTCGTGATGACCTCGGCTCATGTGGCCTAGCCCCTCACAGCCACGTGAAGGCACATACCATGCGAAGAGACTGCACCTGAGACGTACATTCCTGTTCTCATCTTTCTCTTCTCTCCTTTTCCTTTCGGTGCAGCCATTTGACATTGGTTTCTCTGGCTTCGGGGACATTATTCCGGCATGACGACATGCATTTAGGTCTCAGCAGGGCCTGTTCATAGTCTTTTAAAACTACACAGCAAGGTTCTCTCGGACATCTTGCCCCAAGCGAGAGAGCTCCTCCATGTTTCACGTTTTATTCTTTCTTTCTTCGAGGAAATAGTTGCCATATTACCTCTAGAACGGGGCGATCCGTCACGACGAACAGGGGAGAGGAGATGAGCATAGTAGCTAGCTGGAGTTGGTTCCTTAGTCTCCGGGCAGAGCGAGGTTCTAAGCCGCAGTCAGTGGCGCAGGGTCAGTAGGTCTGTACTTTGGTATGGTACAGTACTATAGTAAAAGGCCGTCAGCAAGGGTCTGAGATTCCCTTGAGATCCCTCGTGAGGAGGGAGTCCCAGTGCCCCAGCTTACTGTAGTACTGAGCACGCTGAGGTACGTAGCTTCCAGCAGACACGCAAGTACGTATACACGTGCCATGTCGCCATGCCATGATGATGTGGGCAGGGGGGGTTCAGGGGGGCCCCCATGCGATGATCTCATGCCTTGACGTCAACCTCCCTCGGGACAGCCCAGTCAGCTCCTGCCACAGCTCATCCTTGACCTTGTCACCCCAGGAAAAGGCTGCCCTACTGCCGTAGCAGGAGCATCAGACCCTAGGACCCTACAGGCATTCCAGGCAGTCAGGACAGGTGATCAGTGTCTACTATACAATTTTCGTGACATTACTGTACGTAGTACTGGACAGTATGTTATGGTTGGATTAGGACAACATCATGACCCTTGACTGAGACAGCAAACAGAATCACGGTAATCAGCAGCCGGATTTTTTGACAAAGGAGAGGAAAGAGGGACAGAGTGAGAGGTAGAGTAACGTGCTACACTGTGGCATATTTTTATTTGTTATTTTGGAGTGGGATTTTCTCTGTTTGTTTCCTTCCTTTGTTCTTTCCCTTTACTCCCTTCCCCAATCACGTTCAGATTTCCACACACTCCTTCCTCTTACGGCCACTGATCATCAGCTTCGCTCTTTCTGAAATTGATTCCCCGTCAGCCGGCGCCCTAGGGAGCTACAGCTTCTTTGTTCCTCAGTCCCCGACGGCCTTGTCTCATGACCAGGACCCCAAACCTGTTCCTGAGTCCCTTCACCCCATCGCCACCCTTCTTCCCTACGTAGAAGTACTACCCTCCTTCACCCTCAAGGGTACTACTTCACAAGTACAAAGTACACACGCTACTGCTTTGTGCTTGTATGGTCACCCTGGACCGACCTCGAGCAAGGCCCCAGCATCATCAATCATTCAATCATCACCATCACCACCAATTCGTCTGATGACTCTTTGTTCGCCCATCCTCATCTCCGGGCCTATCCAGCCGGCCATCTCCTCCGTACTATTGCAACCCCATCTTCATTCCCAGCTAATCGACCAGGGCTTATCCTCGTCCCTCTGCAGGAGGAGAGGTACAGCCATCTTTTCCTCTCTAAGCTGGCCTGCTTTGATCCAGGCCTACGCTGTCAGATCTGCTGCAATTCCGCCCACCTCCACCCAAACGAACACCCTTTCCCCGGCCCACACACACCCATTCCCACACCCACACCCTTACATACCTCTCGCGCCGGCCTATGACATTATCACACGCCCTATTACATAGCCACCTCTTTGTGGCTCTTCCAGGCTTGCCAGTTGCTAGCTGCTAGCCTCAGACAGCAGCCCACCACATTCTTCACTCAGCCCTCCTATCTGCTTTGTCCCCTTGATAGAGATCCCTTCTACTCATTTTCTTGTTCCACCAAAGATACGATAGGGAGAAAAAAGGGAAGAAAAAAGTTTTTTCTTTCACAACGCGAGAGGACTGAAAGGCTACAGCAGAGGGATTCGAGGGAGATACGATATACGACGCCAAAGGTCACATCACACGACCCGTGAGACGACGAGACACGACTAGCCAACGCATACACGCAGGGCAGACAGGCTCTCGCCGCCCAGGACGCCGCCGCGTGAGCGCTGCATCGATCTGGTATATCACGATATGACGGTCGACAGTACGTCCATCACCGAGCTCGCCGCCTACGCGCGGTCCCTCTTCAAGCGAGCCAAGACTTCAGGCCCCGACTTTGAAGATGTCGCTGCCGTCGTGCGCTCTCTGCACACACACATCAAGCACCTGCGCGCCGAGGCAGAGGATCCAGACAGCCTCCTGAACAGCACACAACAGGATTCGTCCGTCTACGCCCGCCAGCTGGCCCCGATCGTCGAGGACACTGACTTCACTCTGAAACAGCTGGACACGATCCTCACAAAGTATGGGTCTGCTCCCGACGATGACGGCATCGAGGACAGCGCATACCGCGCGGACCATGGCGAGAGGAGGCTCGAGGACAGGGAGAGGGAAATGCTGCAGCTGATCCGGACCAAGCTGTCGAATCAGAAGACGCACATTGACATCTTCCTCGACACCGTGCAGCTGCACAACCCAGCGCGGCAGCCACGCCCTGTAGATCTGGACCACACGGACAGCCAACAGCAGAACTCCATCAAAGACAAGGTTGACGCTGTCGCCGCGCGCATCTTCCATCGGAGGGCCGTGGCCAAAAACACGGCCGATGCCGTCGACGACAACAACGAAGAGGAGATGTGGCAGCAGTTCTGGGCCGAGCTGGTCAAGGAGGGCTTCTCCAGCGATGTTTTGCGGAAACACAAGGTGAGATTTAATCTCTTGTTTTCTTTTTCTGGTGGACTTTTGCTTGGCCGATTGTCCAAACCACCTCACCACCTGCATGTCTCAATGAACGGATTTTCCTCGCTCCCCAGCCGCCCCTAGTCATGCGTGTCAGCGTAGCACACACGGCGTGGCCAGAGCCAGCCAAGAATGTCATACTACTACAGCATTGCATTGGCGATCCAGGGAAAGAAGAGAGATTAATTGCCGGCCGCCTCTGAACTGGGGCATCCCCCCACTGACACATACCTCATAGGAAGTGCTACGTGCATACATACGGGAACTGGAAGCCAACGGCTCCGTAGACGAAAATCCACCATCGGTTCGTGGTCTGCTGGACCACGCCAGCGGCGGGTCTGCATATGCACCCCAGCAGCAGCAGTGCTGGTCCTATCCCGACACGCCAGCAGCGTCTGCATATGGGTCTCACCAGCAATACGGGCCCTCGACCCTGCCACCGCCAGTGGCGATCCCTCGCCATTCCTCTTCACGTGGCGACACCATGTCAGTCAAGGAATTGGTCTCGCCCACGCTGGACAATGAGAAATTCGCACCTGGCGTCAAGCTCGGACGGCCACAGCCGGAGCTTAGTCCCCACAACAACAGCAACAACGGGAACCACACTCGTACAGCGGCACAATATAACTCTGAACCACCGGCGCCTCCAGGCATGCCGGTGCTGCTACCCTGGGACAGGTCTTCATCCGACTCTGCATCCGATACGGACCTGGCCAGCACGCAACAGCTCGCTCTCATTTCGACCCGAGACCTTATGGATTGCGACCAGCGTAGTGTTGATACCCTCGCCGTCCCGGTAGGGAGGCTTCACTCCTCCTCCTCCTCTTCCTCCCCGGTGCTGCATCCGGCACCAGGTTTTGGTGTTTCGCCGGGGTCGTCGCCGGCGAGCCGCTATCTGCCACCACCACCACCACCTCTGACCTACCAAGGCAAGTCTGGTCTTTCTCCGGAGTTGAAACCAGCGACACAGCCTCTCGGGACGTCGCCGCGATATGTCCCACCCCTGGCAGACTCGGCGTCTGCCTACGGGGCCAGTCCTGTATCCCCTTCTATGATGACACCTCCCCCTCGGTACTCGATCGAGGACCCAGTTACTGCCTCTGTCTCTTTTTCGGCACCCCCTACCGCATATGGCTCTCCTGCACCTCCACCTACAGATGAGCCAACGCCTCAGCGCCGTCGCCGTCTGGGCCCAGACAGCACGGGTGCCGAGATCCCCCTCGACGCCACCTGGACGCGCATCAAACGCACGCTTGTGTCTCCCGAGGTCCTCGACAGGGCTGGCCTTCGCTACGAGGCTCGTCCTGACTTTGTTGCTGTGCTCGGCGTGCTGAGCAAGGAGAAGATTGCAAGCCTTGCACGGAAGTCGGCTGAGATTCGGTCTAACAGAGCTCGTGGCGACTCGGCCTCTAGACCAGCACGGCCGGTGCCTACTGCCAGCTTACTCGACAGGAAGCGAGCCGAAGGCAACGGAAAGAAGTCCCCGCGTCACTCCGACACGACAGACGACGAGAGCGTCTCGTCGGACACCATCTGGGACGAGTCCGATTCGAGCAGCGACAGCGAGTCGGACTACCAACACTCTCGTACACATGAGAGGAGAAGCTCGGGCTCCAACACGGACAAGTACATCCCACGGGATGTCCGACGACGGCGTCGGGACAGACGTGACTCGGTCATCCAAGAGGAGCCGGCCCTGGAGGACGTATACGACAGCAATGACGGTTCTCATAAGAACGAGCGGAGCAAGAGACTCTACCCTGTCATCGTCCCACCTCCCCTAGAGAAGGGTTCCCCCTCTTCGACGGTCGTCCCCAAGCCTATCCTTAAAAACCAAAACAAGAACCATGTACGCTTTGACGAGGATGGCCCGCGGGAGATGTCACCAGGCGAGCTCGACCGCGAGCGGGAGCGCAGGGAGCGCAGGGAGCGGAGACGCGCCGCCGAGCGGGACGGAGATCGCCGCCGGGATCGCGAGAGGGATCGTGGCGATCGCGACCGTAGAGAACGTGACCGAGGTGAGAGAGATCGTGAGAGGGAACGAGACCGTGAAAGGCACCGTGACCGCGACCGGGATGGTCGAGAACACCATCATTCCTCCACGCACTCCACACGCCACCGCGACAGAGACGACAACGGGCGCTCAGAGAGGCGCCGTGCCAAGAAGAGCGTGTGGGGCGAGACACTCGGCGCCGTCGGTGTGGGCGGGGCCGCCGCAACGCTGCTAGGCGTCTTGACGGAAGCAGCCGGTGGATTTTGAGGCAGCCACGGCAGCTGTTTGCCTGTTCTGCTTTTATCTTTCTCTTGCTTTTCTCCATCCAATTTTCATTTGTACAAGGATCATTGGGCTTTTCTTGGTTGAAAGGAATATCACATCACATGCTACTGAGAGATTGGGCACATTGAAGAACATGAGCGGTTATACCACGGCACTTCCGACAGGATTATAGCCCGGCAGGACCGGCGTCAGATAAGGTACAGAAGAACAAAGCATTGATGAGAAAGGAGGAAGAGACAGGGGGAGGCGACAGCATGGCGAGGAGAGAGATGCGCCATATCATGCCATCCGTCCCTACTGTCTTTTTTAATCTTGGGATACGCTTCAAATGTGTCGTTGGAAACTGTATTTTGTCACTTTGCATATTTATACCCCCATACCCCTAAATGCCAATGGATGTCGAGATGAGCAAAACCAGTCTATTTCATGATCTTCTTGTCTCTGCGTGGTGTAAGAATACGATCATTGCCTTCAAACAAGTAAGCTCTAGCGGACGGGGAAGTTCAAGTAATACTGCGAGACCTATGGATGGCAAACGGCCACAATCCAACGTGATATATAAAAAATTTCCTCAACGCCCAGGCTAAGAATTCCTATCGCATGGCTCCGAGCAGAGAGACATCATTCATCCCCTCCTCGGCAGTAGCAACAGCAAAGAGCAAGGAAACCAATGACCCCACATTAATCAACGACGACGCATGCTTCGACCACCCGCATTCCTGCCAGACGCTGCAGTTGTCTGCTCAAACCTCATAGCGTCCATGAAGATCCCGCCCTCAGCAGCCGGCTTTGTTTCACCAGCATCAGGGCTGCCTCGTTGCCCGAGCATCCTGCTCATGAGCCGCTGCTTGTTCCGCGTCGCCTCTGGGTCGTCGTACTGGAGCTGCGTGGCCGTGGGCCCAGCAGCTGCCGGCTCCTCCTCGCCAGGCGAGTCGTCCTCGTGAAGCACTACAGAGTGGGTGCGCCCCATGGGCCCGCGGGCGCCGGTCGACGACCCCTCGCTACCGTTGGATACGACAGAGGCGTTGCTGATCACACGGCCGATGATTTTGCGCCTACGCCTGGCCGGTAGGGGTGCGGCAGCAGCAGACTCGGCGCTGATGCTTTGAACACTTCCCTCGAGGCTACTGCCGCCAGCATTGGTAGCAGTGCCCGCTAAGAGGGAGGTGAGTCTGTTCGAGAGGGCCTGGTGCTCGGCTGCGGCCTTTTCAGCCTTCTCTTGCTCAATACGGCATTTCCCAACCTCGACTGACTTTTGGACCGTCGTATACTCAGAGGCAGTACCCTCGGTATCGCCATAGGGAGTGTCCAACTCATCATCGTCACCGGCTTCGGAGTCGCACACCTCGCTGCGGATGCGTGCGAGTGGCTTGCGGGAGGGTTGTGAAGGAGGCCGCTCCCTGATAGAGTTCTTGTTGAGGTCATTTGCGGATTTCTCCACCAGGGCGTGAGATCCGCGCCTCGATTCAGGTAGCGGCGGCAGATGCTGAGTATCCATGTCCTCCTCAGGCTGGTGCGTTGGGGCTGTCTCGAATTCGGAGGTGAGATTCGAGTTCTTGACCAAATTGTCTGCATGAGACCCAGGACGAGGAGGCTCCGTGGCCACAAGCGGTGTGGTATCGAAGGCTGACATGTCCGGACCAGCCAATGTGTTTCGTGCCAGAGAAACGGTGCGTGATGTCAGGGGCTGAGAAGTGTTTTTCTTTGGCATATCCGAGACCGACTTTGACCTGTTGAAAGGCTTAGATAACCGACTTCTGTCAGTTGCTCTAGACTTCAGCTCTGGGAACAAGTAGTCATCTGTTGCCAGCTTTTGGCCCCGTGTTATACAATCCCACAGCCACTCCGCTTTGACGATAGACACCCCCCACGAGAGGGCTAGCTGGAGCTTCTGTCTCCTCGCGCCGGCCAAGGAAGTGCAGACCAGCACAGAACATTGCGCAGTGAAGCGCTCCTCATACCGCGCTCCTAGCTGACGAACCACCTTCTCTACCTGGTTGAGCTCGATGTCCAGAAAGCCGCTGGTGGCTATTGAGAGCTGGTCAAAGCCGCCGAGGGGAAAGACGGGAAACGGCCTGCCAATGACATGTGCCCGTGGGTCTGGCAAGGTCGTACCCTTTTTATAGACGCATTTCTCGATGAAGAACTCAGTGATGACGTCTACTCCATCCAACAGCGGTGGGTGAGTCTTGGGGTCAGACTGCTGCGGCACGACAACAAAGCAGCGCCGCACACCCTTGACCGGTCGTAGCTCGCCTAGAGATGCCACAACCTCGCCCCCTCGCGAAGTGATGAAGGGAACGATGACGTCGACGTGTGCCGGAGGGAACTCGTAGATGTAGAAGGAACAAGAAGCAAAGACGTCATCCACCCCTTCATCCACTCCTCCAATAGAGTCCTTGACCACGCCAGCACGCGAGATCGACGCACTGGGCTGTCGCAACATGGAGTCGCCGGGGAGAGGTTGGGTTGGCACTTCGGCTGGGAGCGAGGCCGCAGACTGGTCGAGGGAGGGCTGTTGGCCGAGAATCTCCCCCCACATGTTGTCCCTCTGGCTGTTCAGTTTCATGCTGGCAGTCTTCCTCAACTTCCGCCTGCCACCGCCTTCCTGCCCCTCGGCGGCCTCTCGCAGACGCTTGCCCAGCGACTTTCGACGGACATCCCGCTTGACCCATGCGCCCTTGCCAATTTCTTCTTCGGGCAGATGAGGATCGTAACATGCCTCGTCGAGAATCATGCCGCGCTCGATGCTGTCCTCGACCCATTTCTTGGTGACGATATGTTGGCCCCACCTCCTGGCAGCAGAGTATTTCTTTCCCGTCGGTTCGCGTACGATAAGGTGGGTGCAGGACTTGTCAAGGTTGCCCGTATATTTACCGCCGTTGGCCTTGATCTTGGCAATAATCTCGGAGCGTTCTTCTGCAAAGCGGGTGGGTGTGTACGTCAGTCTACAAGTTCCTCATTTTCCATACGTGCGGAAGAAAAAGAAAAAGGGAAAAAGAGGAATAAGACATACCCTCCAACAAGCCACTGACACAGCATTTGAGCTTGTTGCCCGGACCATCCTCGTCATCAGCGTCCTGGGGGATCTCGCCTCGGGTCTCGAACGTCTTGAGGGCCCATTGGTTCTCCAGCGCTTTGAACTCGATGGGGTCATCCCTCACCCAGAGATTCCGCACGGCATCGATCCAGCCTATGGCCATTGGCCTGATATCGGGTCGCTGCTTGGCGACATGTCGGTACTTGGTCGTCTCGTACTCGCCAACGACGAGGTGTGTGGTTTTGGGGGTCAGATCGTATTCGTGGCGGCCTCCGAGCTCTGCGACCTTGTTGCCCAGGTCGGTCTGGACCGTGCGAGAGTTAGCACCTGGCAACTTGAAGGTCTGGTAGGAGGGAAATCTCGACACAGGAGCCAGCGTGATGTTTTGGGGCGGGTCTTCGCATCACTTACACGCTCATGAGCGGGAATGCTGGTGCAGCATACCACAATGCCTTGTAATGGCTTGGACGGGTCGAAGAATTCGGCAAAGTCGAGGTCTGAGGAGGGTGGTGGGGACTCCATGGCTTCCTCATGGCCTGTGGTGCACCCTCTCGGGTATGTGAGGAGAGGAAGGAGGAGAGAGCACAGTCCAGGCTCGAATCGAGAGTCGAGGGAGGTCGGAGAGTCGGGGGTTGTTGTTGTCTTTGTTTTGGTCTGATAACTCAATTGCAGTGTAGTGGAGGGGCGGGCGCTTTCACAGGCTTAGGCGCGTCTGACTACTATTATGGTACAGTGTAGGCCCCACCCACGTAACCCGTACCGCGTCTTAGGCGGTCACCCGTCCACTAAAAGATGTGCAGGCATCAGCAACAGCAGAGAGTGATAGCACACAGCTGCTCCATTGCCAAAGACCTCAATCTTGAGATTTCGATGCTTGCAAGCAAGGCCGTAGGAAGTTGATCAATCTATCACAGACCAGACTATTCCAAACTATTAGCACAAGGTAAATGATTGATCTCAAGTAACAAGATTTCAGATGTACGCGCTGAAATCTTGTTACTTGAGAAGGTATGCTGCCATTCCACATCTATCCAGTTTCTTACCTCTCTATCTCTTCTCCTGCACATCTTGTCAAGGAAATTGGCACATGGCCTCACAATCAACGTGAGACTGTCCTTCTGATTCTATTGCCGCTCTATCCTGTCTGCCAGGCCGCACGGCCCCATCGCTCGCATCATGAACGCTTGACGCTCTTGCGCCATTCGAACGCTCTCAACACGGCAGCCTCCTGCGCAGGCGTTGTGAAATCAATCTCGACCACACTATCCTCCTCCTTTCCCCCAGGCGCGCCGCCTTTCCTTTTCACCCGCCTCGCACGACACTCTTCCTCCGTGGCCCAGACATAATCCACATGCTCTTTCGGATCTAGCCGGACGGGGTCTCTATGCGACTCTAGCTGAGCCGCAAAGGTAAACTTGATAATCGTCTTTCCCCTGGTGGTACGAAATATGTAGCCCCCGTCCAGCTCGTCATCCGCCCCTCCCTCATGGGCTATCAGAGCGTCCATGCGGCCCACAATCAAGCCCGTCTCCTCGCCGACCTCCCGAGATGCCCCGAGCATGGCGTCCTCTCCCTTGTTGACGGCTCCGCCAGGCACTTCCCACTTGAGCGGCATGGAATCCGTCGGAGCCCGCTGGATGAGGAGGACCTGCGGCACGGGTTCGAGGGGCCTGAAGATGACAGCACCGCTGGCCAGACCATCCAGTGGTATGGTCGTCTTGTCCTGCAGCGTACGGAGGAGGCTCTCCCTGTCGAGCTCGAATTTGGCGAGGGAGCGGTCGAATGAGAACCGCATGTGGAAAGCGATTGTCGGCATTTTATTTTGACTTTCTCAAGAAGGGAATACTCAGAGGGTGCAGTTCTAACGGCTCGACCTGAACTTAGAATTGTAGTAGCTGGCACGGAGGTGTTGAACTGCCGAGACTTGGTGTTCCAAGTTATGCAAGTCAATAAGTACTGACTCTGGCATACTAATAAAACAATCCTTAGGCTTGAATCGTTCGCGCCTATCTAAGTAACTACATGTCCAGGCACTTAGGGTCTTGTAGGCCTACTCTGACATTCCAAGCTAGAAGGTGTGCGAGGGCCAGTGAGCCACTGGCCGAGGGCCGTGCAAGGCCCGCCAGTCAGCCAGCCAAGAGCTCGGCCTGTTGATAGCCTCAGATAGTTCGGCCTCATGACTTTTCCTCTTTCCTCTTTCTCTGTTCAGCGCACAGCAATATGAGCCTTTTGCCCTCGCATAAAAGGTGTTTTAACACTTGCAAGTAAGGCACCTCCTGGCTTGTATACATATATATGTTCTATAACTAAGTAGAAAAATACAAAACCCTTCCAATGCTATGTGCTAGAATTCGCTGCTATTCATCAGTTACTCAGCCAAGTGCTTACTGGATCCTCAAATGTAAATACAACAACAATCTAAGACAAATATAAAGAGAGTCACACTGATTGACTCATTGTTTGACAATTATCAGATGCTGAAGAGATATTGAATTACATTCATTGTTCCTTGATGAAGAGTCTGTAGCCACTTTATTTAGTGGGGCCAGCACTTGCTTGGACCAACATTACTACATGTACAAATTCAGGGATTGAGGTGGTTTGCGGTAGATTCACACTACTCTGCTTGTGAGTCCTCTATTATTGGGTATCTAACAAAGATAAATGTAGAGAAGAGTAAAAAGGCACCGTGATTACTTTTTCATGCTTGGACAATGGGTGAGCAGCCTCAGAATCCCATCTCCAAAGCTCATTTTTTTTCTCTCACTTATATATCTAACAAATAATAGGTCCCTCTGTCAAAATGAGGGAAACTCCGCTCTTTATGCATCTATATCCAACTCCAAAACAATGCTTAGGCAACCAGTTCCTCCTGACCACCGTGGTCATATCAGCGCCAGCGTCACCATCACGGCCACGACGAGCGCGGCAGTGGAACACTGCCCCGAAGCAATGGAGCTGATGCCTGCTGAGGCTGACGAGCCCGCTCCTGTGGCCGTCCCTGTTGCTGTCGCTGTCGATGTCGCGGCTGCAGGGATGCCAGTGACGACAACGGTCCCTGTGCCGGTGGACGACGACGACCCAGCAGCCTTGCCCGTCGATGTGGCAGCCGAACCGGACATACCCATGTTCATCTTGGCCGTGGACGCTGTGCACTTGCCCTGGAGACCGACAAAGTCAGATGCATTGGCCACGGCGGCAGGAGTGGAGCCACAGTTTTGGTACTGCTGGAGGTGGATCTGGTTGTTGTCGAGGTCGAACACGGCTGGATGGATACATGCATGGTCAGTAAAAGCCGCATAAGCCAAAAAGTAACCCAAAGGAGAAAGAGAAAGACGGCAAATAAAAAAAGAAACTAACCATAGGCATTGCGTAAAAATGTATCACCTAGCAGGGTGAACGAGTCACTGGCTGTGATGCCCAGCACGCAGGTAGTCGTAGATCCACTGGTCGTCTGCCGGATGAACTCGTTGTAGGGGACCGCCACGGTGACGCCGTCGAAGGCAAAGTTCACAGTGCCATCGATATCAACCAGACTGCAGTCCACAGTGTAATACCCATCCGAGTCGGCCTCAGACGCTCCAAAGTCTTTTCCTATGGCGTTGGCAATGTCCGAGGGAAGAAGGGTGAGAGTGGCGCCGGTATCAAAGAAAACGTCGATCGAAGTATTAGCATAGGTCTTGACCACGCCGTTGGGAGGCGTCAGGCTCATGTTGTTCATCGAGACCCAGTACCGCGGGACGCCGTCGGGAGAGTCAGCGGCCGGGATGATAGGCAGCGTGGCCAGCGTTCCGGCAAACTTGGACGTGTCGATGCCGCCGAACACGATGGCACCCTCCTGCTCCGTCTTGCTTCCCAATCCCACGCTGAAGGCCTTCACGCTGGTCTGGTTCTGCAGCGACAGCTGGTCGACAAAGTTGGGGTATGTCGTCGTCTTGCCCATGCCATATCCGATGCCCAGGATGCCCGAGAACTCCTCGGTAGATGAGGTCGCGACGCCGAATTGTACATTGGTCATGGGCTCGGCCGCACCGGGCAGGGAGATGGAATCCTCGACATAGGTGATGTTGGCAGATCCAAGTCCGTAGGCCAAAGTCTTTCCGGTGGTCAAGGCTTTGACTGTCGATGATTCGGATTCGTTGTAGAAGCCAGTGGCCTGACAGAAGGTGGCGTCCGAGGAACTCAGGCTGGAACATGTGGGATTCACCCACAGCTCGAAGGAACCCGTATCCAGCTGAACGTATACCTGCTGCGCCGGTGTGCCGATGTTCACTACACCGTTTTGTGAGTTCGTTATGCCTTTCAAACCTCAAGGGTAAAATATTAGTAGTAGTAGTCAAATTGCTTACGCTGAGCATAGTATGCTATATCAGAACGATTGGCCAGCTGCACATCGATGGCTCGTTTTGAGAATACATTTCTGTTGGTCGAGTGTACGACATGCATATGAAAGCATGGCTCATCCTCATCACATTGAGCAGATGTGCCAGGGAGGAAGCTGATTGCCAAGAGCAACAGCTGGAGGAGGTGATTATATGCCATAGAAGGCATCAAAGGTGAACAGAGAGAAGAGCTACCTCGACAACGAAGGCATCGAGACCGAATTTTGAGTAATTCAAGATTCCTTGGTTGACAAGTATGAAAGGGGAGAAGCGAGCAGTGAGAGAGAAACGTTGACCACGGTGACGACGACAAGAGCTGCTCCCATCAAGGGGCTGAAAGAATGGAACCTGTCCTCAAAAGAGAATGAAAAGGAAAGGAAAAGAAAAATCCAAAATCCAAAAGGACTTTGGTCTCCCGGCGTGTTGGTGTCGTGCCCCGAGCTGCTCAAGTGGGCCTGCAGAACGTCTGCTACCGGTTGAATCAATAACCACAGCCAAATAGGAAATCAAGAAGAGAAAGAAGGCAGTGAGAGCACCGGAGTCTGACCGTCGAAGAGAGTGTATGTACAGATTTCCAAGTAAACTGATGTGTCAACGAGAGAGAAATGAATGAATGACCAGCCCCGTATTTCCAGGCGAAAAGAGTGACGGACGTTGACAACAAACAGAAAATAAGCTTGCAAGGAAGCCTTCAGGTCGAGATGAAATCAGACGACGTTGAGACTCAGAAGCCAGCCACAACAGTCAGAAGCATGCCCGTGCGAGAAAGCAGAGAGAAAAAGAGCACAGTACCGCAGCAAATCAACAAGGCACAAATTTTGTCAAGCAATACTACTGGTACTCTTGAGGCCCGCATATGAGTGGGGTCTTCTCTTACAAAAGCGCTTGGCTCTCGGCGACAATATAACAGGGGATGAACGGGGGGCCATGCCAACCCCCCTTAACGTCTCAGAATCTCAACATCCCGGCCTGGAGGAGGAGTCTGGGGCCTCGAAAAGTAGAGGGCCAAGGCGAAGCGCAACGAAGCGCGCCTTGGATAAGTGAAGGGAGCCCCCCCCCCCCTTTTTCTTTTCTAGTCAACCCCCTCTTTATTCATGGACAGAGGTAACCCCTATCAACCATCTACTATGGCGGTTCAAGCGCCAGGGCTTGGCATATCGGATCTGCTTTTAGAAGCCGATCACAAGAGATAACTCAGGACTACCGTCAAGACTTGCCACGGCTTGGCTTGGTTTCCTCGCAGTCACGAGGTCCTGGCTCGCGTCTCCGAGAAATGTGACAGCCAAGGATCGCACGAGATCTCCTTGAAGATCCCCAAAGTGTCGCGTGCCAGGCTTGCCAGGATAAAAGCCCATGCTTTTTTTTTCTCTTCTTTTGGGAGCTCCACGTCCTGGGGCCAGAACGCCTCAGCGCCAAAAGAGATCTCGGCTACAGCAGTGGCCAAGGAAAATAAACTGCTCGGTCTCAGCCGAGGTTTCGGGATGACAGGGGTGTCAACAGATCCGCATTTTGTGGCTTGATCTTTATGCTTCCAACAACAACCAAGGCATGATGACCCAAGTCTTCACGATGAACACGGTTCGGATTGTCATGATTAACAATTCAAACCAATCACAGGATTGCGCTCTTGACCTCCAAGTATACTTAATAGATGTTTGTGACTTTATGGCATACTCTTAAAAGCGCAATGCCGTCCCTCATCTGTAATCAAATTAGGTAGCCTTGATATATCAATTTCACTGCATATGATTCGACACTGCTGTTAATGAATGAGACAAACCACTTGCCAGAAATGTGCCAATTCTGATGAGTAAGAACACAACATTATCAATCCACGGAGATGATTGAAATTGGACAATGATACATGATTGTCCACAGTCATCATCTTAATGTGATATAATGACAGTGCAATAGAATACAATAGTCAGCGATTTTACCTTACCTGGTTGCTAGGCTTGGTGCGGACAATGAAGACTCGGTCAAAAGGCTGTCTACGTTGAGCGACAAGCAGAACATAGAGGCAATAGTCACAAAGAGCAAAACCTGTCTTACGTATAGACCCAACATTAACCTAGTAGTGAGATGATATTAGTCCAAGCTTGACTGCCTAGCTGATAGTAAGTCATTTTTCTTAAGTAACTGTTTTTGGACAGATTTAGACTGCACGGAAAAATACCGCATAGCTAGTGTTCTCCGGGCTCATATATGCTTGTTTGGTGTTGACAAAGTCTTTCAGTCTTCTTAACACTGTCATCCTCACAGCTCTTGGGGTTTTAAACTTTTTCAATAATGCAAGTTGTCTTTACATATTACTACTTTACTTTGGAAAGTTTTCTGAGGAAGCACGTGACGCACTGGTTTTGAAATTTCCTTGTCTTTGTGACCAACAAGCTGGAGAAAGTTTCTCATCCATTTCTCTTCTGGCGTTTTGCTGGAATCTTTTCAGTGCTCGAGAGGTGACCTGCTTCGTCTGAACACCCGCTTCCCACCGATAGCTCTACGCCAGCTGATTATGGGATGGCGTTCAAAAGAGCACCTACATATGACGACTATGACGCATGTTCGGATGAAAAGCCACAACAGTATGCAGAGTCCTTTCGGTGAGAATGTAAGATGGAAGCGACTTCCATATTGAGGCCATCGACGATGTTCTCCGCGATACCGTCGGTAGAAGGGAGCAATACAACAGCCACACTGGACCTATCAAAGAGTCCGTACGGCAACAATCCCCCGGAAACGGCAATTTTTGGCCATGCCTTCACTCCGCTGCTGCGCGCAAAGGGTATCGCGCTGTTTCTGAATGCCAGTGGCTCAATTGCACCTGCAGGAGGATGCGGCTCCCGCGGAGGGAGGGTGTGACCCAAAATACGTATTAGGTAGCGAGCCGCGGTATCTGCCGTGTGCGAGATACTCGGGATCCTGGTTTTGTTGTTGCAGCAGGGGTCCAAGCTTGAGAAATCACTCGCGAGGTGCTGAACGATGACGTGTAGGAGAGCCAGACTTGTTACGAGGTAATATACGGTCCCTCCCCTCCGTCCGGCCCTAGGAACCAAGTACAACCTGGTTCCCTTTCTTCTTTTGATTCGAGAAAATTCAGAGCCCGATCTTAAGGCGAACGATTGTATAACATACATAGCAAGGCGGGGGCGGAGAAGCCTCACAAAGATGGAAAAGATGGGATTAAGCACTTGCTTTATGCATTGTAGATGATGAGGCTACCCCGGACTCAGTACCACCTGATCACACCTTATTCTCCTGTTTAGCCTAAACGACGTGGTATTTACTGCAGCGAATCGCAGATTGACCCCATCACACGAAAATAAAGAACAAGAAAACGAGGTAGAGAATGTGGTTGACCACACAGTTTTGAACGCACTAACTCCAAGAAGATCGTCGAGCCATCCGGAGATGGATCGTCCGCTGTCACCTTGAACCAAGTGCACGAACAAGCAATACTCGGTTCAGAAAATCGCCCTCGAACCTTGCGCCATGAAATGTGACACGATGGGAAATGTTCCGAAGAGACGGGAGTGCTTAGCAGCAACCATACAAAATACGTGTATGGGACTTAATTAATATATAAGGCTGACTCCAATCCCGAGCACATTGGACGCAGGGATGCAATGCAGAACACTCACACGGCCGCCTGCTTAGCTCCCTGCATCTGCAAGTCTATATTGATTCATAACTAGCACTAGGAAAGACCAGGCAAATCATCGGCACTGATTCATCATGGTGTCCCTCAGAAGCATTGTCGTAGCCATTGCCGGCATTACGGCTGCGGTGGCGGCGCCTACGACGGACCTCGCCATCCGCGCCCGGGGTGAGCTTGCGAAGCGGCTGACCGTCACGACAAGTTCCACTGGTACTACAGGTGGATACTACTACTCGTGCTATATTGAGGAGAACACCGGGGCGACCATGACAATCGGCACTGGGACTTACTCTTTGAGTTGGGAGTCCTCATCTGTGGACGTTGTGGCTGGAGTCGGCTGGGCCACAGGCGCAGCACGGTGAGTTGGTCTTCCAGAAGTCTTGTAACTTTGTGCATCGATCACAGCTAAGTAATAATGTCTTGCTTTCGGTTAGAACAATCACGTACTCCGGCTCCATTGACGCCACTGGTGACTCTCTGCTTGCGCTGTATGGGTGGACCACCTCGCCGCTCGTCGAATACTATGTCATTGAGACATATGGTACCTACAATCCCGGGTCTGGCGGCACCCTCAAGGGCACAGTGACATCTGATGGTGCGACCTACGACATTTACGAGGTCGTTCGTAGCAATGCCCCATCGATCGAGGGAACCCAGACCTTCAACCAGTATCTCTCGATCCGCACGAGCGAGCGCACCAGCGGAACAATCACATTCCAGAACCACATCACTGCCTGGGCGGAGCTTGGCCTGGTCAGTACTTGAAGAGAGAGCCCTTCACACTCACACACAAAGAAGGAATATGCTGACTATTTGTACAGGACCTGGGTGCATATAACTATCAGATCATGGCTACTGAGGGATATGAGAGCGGCGGATCTTCTTCCATGACCATCGAAAGCAGCACTTGAACTGTTTACGCTCACTTGGCTACTCGTTGAGCAATCTTAGGAGGTGTCAAGGACATTGTTGACCACGGCTAAAAGTTTGATTGGACTTCGCTTCCGGAATCGAATCCAAAATTGCGCACTTGTCTCGACGCTCTGTGTACATATCTTCAAGGCGAATATATATCAATGCATATATATCAATGCACATATATATATATATATATACACGTACATAATGCTTGTGTTTGGGACCAGGTTCTGTTTGAAATATTCGGGATATATAACTACCAAGTTCAATTCATACTAGAAAGTGCGTAAATCTCGTCCAACACGAAATATAGTTTAAATAGTTAAGAGGAAGTCATGCCCAAGCGCGAATCAATCAGCGGCCCAGATGTGTACCGCAAGGTCAGTGGCGTCTATCCCAATTTAAGCGTGAGGGTCTCGGCCGGACAACATACTTACACAGCGCCGTGGACTTTTTATTAAATTTGGACTCGTTCGGATATTGTTTATTTGTTATATTTAACGCCAGAGAAAACAAGCGTGGCTATCTAATTTGAAGGCCTCGAGAAGGGTATGAGGCGCGCTGAGCTAGATTTGGCCAATCTCAACAACAGCCATCTGCCTATATTACAGCGACTCAAAGTCTATCAATAACAACAGCAGTGCCACTAAATCATATGTTAATTGTAACTAAGAAGAGAGCAGGAGGCTATGTCTTATTTATCCCATACTGGAGCTGGGTGTCGTGTTGCTAGCAGGCGCCTATTCTGACTGCCAGAAGGCAGTTTTTCTTTCTTCTTTTTCTAAAAAAAAAAAAAAAAAAAAGGGATGAAAACTTTCCTCCCTCCTCATCTCTGCCTTCTTTTCTCCCTCTTTCCTCCCTCTTTCCTCCCTCTTTCCTCCCCCTTCCCTTCTATCCTTTTTCTTTCGGTCCTTCCTCTTAGTAGGAGAAGGAGGCATCTCAAGAAAACTTTTCGAGATAACTTCTTAAAAAAAAAAGGAAGCAGAAAACTTTCCTCCTTCCCCATCTCTGCTTTCGTGCCTTCTCTCTTTCCTCCTCTCTTTCCTTCTCTCCCTTTTCTTTCGGCCCTTCCTCTTAGTAGGAGAAGGAGGCATCTTAAGGAAACCTTTCGAGGTAATGTCGCATTCATCTTGTCATAGGAGAAGGAGACATCTGAAGCTTCCGAGGTAATGTCACGTTCATCTTGTCACAGGAGATGGGCAACCTGTCCATCAAAACCAGCCGCGACGCGACCTGTGAGATGCCAGCCACTGTCAAATGTTGGCCGTGCTGGATAACAATCAAGAGCTCGTCTTCGTCCTGGATTTTTGTTTATACTGTGTTTGGAAGATTATGTCATGTGCTGTGACCACCAGCGCCTAGCGACACAACAACGACCGACCATGCTGCCCCGCCCCGCCTGTGCCTCGAACCTGGCCCCCAATTTTTTGGGAAACCGTGTAAATCTCGGCCGTGGCTGCGGTATCATCTTGTTCTCCCTGGTGGAATATACATACTACATAGCATTATGGCATATCATAGTACAGAGTAGTAAAAAACATGGACACGACAGTTAAAATTACAGGACTAAAAGACAAGGTTCTGATCCCCCGGGAATCCAAGCGACGAGGCCATTTCGAGGCTCAGGACCCATTATATTCCCTAACCAGCTTAGCAGACTTCGGAATCCAGCCCGAAAATGATCAGCCTCTTTGCTGGCCCCTCCCCGCTGGGTTTCGAAACGAAACAACATAGTACCATGCTATGGTGGTACTTTGTATCATGACGTGGGAGAGAAAAAAGGGGACTACTGCACCATATTCCCATCTCAGGAGCCGGAGGTTTTTTGAGTCCAGAAAATCATGCGCTGCCCACCTACGCGCCGCAGGGGCTAACACCATACATGATTTGGGGGGATCCGGTTAAAATGAGTAGACCCAGACAGGGCCCAGGTGCCTTGCAGCAACGTCCAGAACGGGATTCGCCCCGTTCAAGCGAGTGGCATGGCATTGGAGGAAACATCGTCGTGAGTTTCGAAATATATTGGCTTGGCTCCCAAGGAGAAGGCGGTGCTTCCCCGTCTTCCTCATAAACCCCCTTGCTGTGTGGTCTCTGGTGACTTTTGATCAAGTCTGTTGTCTCGTTGGACTCTTGTCATTCGTTCCATCACATTCTTTTCGTTTTCTTCTCTTCTCTTCTGCCATCAGCATCCATCATTCTTTTTCGTGCATTTGCACACAAGTCTCTCATTTTTTCTTATACCTTCTCTCACTAGTCCATATCAGTTCTTAAGGTGAAGCAAGCCCTTCACATTTCACAATGCATTCGAGTGCTTCCAACCTTGCCCTCCTGGCGCTGGCCGCCGGTGCCAACGCCCAGCTGAACCAACTTGCTGTGGCTGCCGGAAAGAAGTATGCATACAAAATTCCTCTCTCTCTCTCACTCTCTCTCCATCACACGTTCTTGCATCCACAGGTGAATTGTAGGCTTTTGTATAGCTAATGAGACATTAAAGATACTTTGGCTCTGCAACAGACAACGGCGAGCTTGACGACACCGCCTACGTTGCCATCCTGAGCGACGCCGATGAGTTTGGCCAGATCACGCCTGGTAACACCCAGAAATGGGAATACACCGAGCCTGAGGAGGGCACGTTCAGCTACACCGAGGGTGATGTGATTGTCGACTTTGCTCAGAACAACAGCCAGATCGTGCGTTGCCACAATTTGGTCTGGTACAACCAGCTGCCCGCTTGGATATCTTCCGACTCTTGGACCAATGACACTCTCACATCCGCTATGACCACTCATATTACCAACGAAGTCACTCACTACAAGGGCGAATGCTACGCGTGGGATGTCGTGAATGAGGCTCTCAGCGACAGCGGCGGCTACCGTGACAACATCTTCTACGAGACGATTGGAGAGTACTACATCCCCATTGCCTTCTCGACTGCGGCGGCTGCCGACCCCGACGCCAAACTCTACTACAACGACTACTCGATCGAGTTCACCGGCACCAAGCTGACCGAGGCCCTGGCCATCGTGGACCTGATCCAGGGTGCCGGCGTCCAGATCGACGGCGTGGGTCTCCAGGGCCACTTCATTGTCGGAGAGGTCGGCAGCGCGGACGCCCTGGCCGCCGTCATGAACCAGTTCACCGCCAAGGGCGTCGAGGTCGCCTACACCGAGGTCGATGTTCGCCACCTTACCGTGCCCGCCAACGACTCACAGATCGAGCAGCAGGCTGTCGACTACGCCTCCATCGTCAATGCTTGCCTGCAGGTCGACGACTGCGTGGGCATCACCGTCTGGGACTTTGACGACAAGTACTCCTGGATCCCGTCCACTTTCAGCGGTGAGGGTGAGGCCTGTCTCTACGACGAGAACCTCTCCAAGAAGCCTGCCTGGACATCCGTGTCCTCCGTTCTCGCTGCTGCCGCCACGGGCGGTGCTTCTGCGGCTACGACTACCGCTGCTGCTGCCGTGGCTGCCACTACCAGCAGCGCTGCTTCTGCCTCGGCCACCGGCGGTTCCGCTGCCCCTGTTTCGACTGCCAGCGCTTCCAGCTCTGTTGTTGTTCAGTCTTCAGCTGCTGCAGTGCAGTCTGTTTCCAGCTCTGCTGTGGCATCTTCTGCCCCCGCCAGTACTGTTTCGGCGGCTGCCCTTGCTACATCTCCAGCAGCGGGTTCTTGCGTCAAGAAGACCAAGACTGTCTACGTTACTGCGTCTGCCTAAGATGTATTGCTGTAGGATCTTTTGAAGACTTGTTGAAGATAGCTAGTGCAAGGAGGAAGGAGGACTTGCCGTGTCCATTTTTCAATGTATATATATTGTTGAAAATATGCTGCGAACATTCTCATCTGCATATATAGGAAATTCTCAATAGAGCCCATTCCATATTATTGACCTGTAATCACCTATTGCCACTGAATGGACACTAGTCAGAATCATCAGAATAGGCGCACAGATACGAGATACATCTGATCTACAAAAGGAGGGGAATGGAAATAATTAAGGTAGTATATCAATGAAGGCGGCTATGAGCACCAGATTCTCTGAAGGGAGCCAGGCCAAGTAGATCCTAGCCTAAGTTTGAGTATTAGAAATCAAGATCTTTTAGAGTAATAGAAGACTAGAATTCAAAGAGATAATAGAGAGGCTAAGTAAGACATACTTAAGCTTAGCATTAAACATAAGAATAGCTGGTAAAGCAAGCGTAGAATTAATAATTATAAAAAAGATTTACAGAGCCTAGGGTAAGAAAAGAGGAAAGGAAAGAGGAAAGAGAGAAAGATAGAGGGACAAGGGGAGGAAAGCTCTTTCTTGATTTCTATATTCTAAATATTCTAAGACACATCGTGCAGAGGCTTCCTTCCATATGCAAAGTATACCAGCGAATAGGCGTGGATCTTGGGGTCCACAAGGTCCTTCCTCACATCTTCTAGAAAGTCCGAGACCGTATCGGCGTCCATTCCCAGGACCCTCGTAAAGATGGCCAGAGACATACTCTTGACGCCTTCTAGGAGATTCTGCCCGGTCATGGCGGCCAGAAGCTTGTTCTTCTTGCCCTTGGGCCACGGATTGAACGCCACAGCCCCCCTCCTCTCGACCACAGCCTCGAACCCGATCTTGCGCATGTAGTTCGCCCAATTAAGGTTGTCCCTCAGGTCCTTTCCGGTTCTCAGCATGCCGTCATACAGCAGCCTGTTCCACTCGGCCAGGGCAGTGCCGTCCCAGGACCCGTCGTCGCACTGCATTGGCAGACACGGATCCTGCAGCTCAAAGTAGCCCCCCGGGGCGAGATTGTCAAAGATGCGCTGGAGGACGGACTTGGGCTCCTTGAAGCACGTCACCATGGCGCGAGCGTGGATGTAGTCGAAGGGCAGGTCGAAGCCCCAGTCGGCCTCCTCTGCATCGCCGATCTCGAACCTCAGGTTGCGCGGGACCAGATCTGGCTGGATGGGCGACAGGTCTGTCCCGATCACGCTGGCGTCCGGGTGCTGCTGGGCAAACTCTATAGCCCAGATGCCCGTGCCTGTGCCTATGTCGAGGACTCGCCGCGGGTAGACCAGCGGTGCTGTGTATAATCTGCCGTCTAGATAAACCTTGAAGGAGTGGTGCTGCAGATCGAGGCGATCCTGCTCGGCGTCATCGTTGGGCAGCATGTACTCTAAACAGGATGGTCAGCATTCACACGCCGTCTCGTTTCATGTTTCTATTCATGGAAGATGATGAAGGACTTACTGCCAGGACGGTATGAGTGGTATGTGCGACCATTTTCAAGGACAAAGTTGTGAATACTCGTCCTCAACGAGGTTGTAGAATCACTTCTCATCAGGTAGTGGTGTCAGCAGCCTGGAAAGTTTTGAAGGGAAAGTTTTGAAGAAAAAAAAAAGAAGAAGAAAAAAAACCATCCAGAGCAGTGCATATGCCCTCCATCACAGGAGAAAAGACAAATACAGGCACAAGGCGCAGCAAAGGCATTGTAAAAAGAAGTCCGTCATACCTCAGAGAGAAACCCAGCGCAGAGTCGTGATCCTCAGCCTGGAACCGTTTAGAGATGGAAAGAAAGGGGCAGGTAAGGCTTGTGTATGTGTCGTCTCACCTCAGACCCGTCAGAAACGTCCAAAGTCGCTGGGAAGCTGTTCAAGGTGTCCCATTGGTCATCGCTGCTGCCAGCGTCACGTCTTATTGAGCTTTCGTCCATGCCTGCAACCACGCGCCTGGCTCCCCGGTGATATGTCGGAGCCCTGTGTTAATACTACGGTACCTGGGCGATGATCAGCAGCCGGAGGTTCGGATGCTACGCTCGGGCTTTCAGCAGTACTTTTAAGCGAGATGTGCTGTACGGTAGGGCTGATGGTTCACACGAGATGGCCGTCTTGTCTAATTTTCAACGAAGATTGTTAAACTCTTGTTCGGAATCTGAAAAGTTTGGAAATGGAAAGGTTTTCAAGACCACAAAAATCTGACCAGTATCGTTGGTTATTAGGCGGGTGATGCAGAGAAAGAGGAGAAGAAAAAGAAGGACTGTGCGTGATCCGATCACTGATAAAAGCCACCGTCTTCGGACAACAGCAGAATCGTACGCCTTGGCCCTTTTGACTGGCCTCGGGCCTCGTGCAAGTGCCGAGATCCGGGGAAAGCGGCCCTTCGAAGAGCCTCGTCTGTAATTTGACATGGCCGAGAGCGGCAACTTTGGCCGGATTGTCCCCAGGTAAAAGGAAGACTTGGATGTTGGAAGCCCATTGAAATATAGAGCCCACAAGACATTCAACACTTTGATCATAGTTAAGTAACATAAGATCGGGGCGTCTTGACGCTGACGCTTGACAGGTTTTGTCCCGAGGTACTCATTCATCCATTGTTATTCAAACGGCAGAGCGATAACCGCTGCTGTCTGGACACCGGTCTAGGATCCTGTGCCATAGTATGCGACATGCCCCCGACAAGACGCATGATAATAAAGACAAGCAAACAAAGCCGTCGGTCGATCTCTACACAGGCATCTCACCTTCTGCCACTTGGGATTATAATTCTGTGTCACGTTCTTTCGACAATGATTTCAGACGATCTCTTGCAAATCGCGGATGGAACATTGGCTCAGACGAATGAGGCTATTCATTTCGTGCTGGCATCAGATAATAAAGCGATATGTTTCCTGCTTGTAAAACCAGATATAAACATTTCTCAAAGCCGAAGTCTGTGTCAGATCATCGGACGCAGTCTTTCTCTAGAACGACCAGGTCATTGCATCTCGAAATGAGGTGAGCATCTACTCTTGGGGGGGGGGGCGGTAGGGCAGAAGACAAGCCGTACACTGGTTGCTGCCCTGGAGGTCGTAAAGATTTAGCGGCTGACTGTGCCGTCACGCTAGTCACAGCGTATGATTACAGGCTCCCCCGCTCTCCGCTTCAAGCTTGCATTTTCGTTTCTGTCATTCTTCTTCGGGGGGGGGGGGCCCACAAGGATCTTCAGCAGAGGGCGTTCCACTACATAGTACACAGTACCGCACACGCCCCAGTAAATACAGTTCGCACCATAGCAATGCTGTAATTACCCATGCAGCAGCTATTACGTAGGAATGTGCAAACAAGCAGCGCGGTCCACGCAGGGCACGTCAGTTGTCATGATTAAAAGGAGAAAAGGAAAAAGAATCAGAAAAAGGCCTCAATATTTTGGCTCTCAGGTTGACTTTCGAAGCCCATCTGATAACAATTCAGAATAAAAATACGAATGCTTACATATCCGTACTGATTGATAGCTTTCTGGAGAACATTTTTTCTTTTCCCACACCGACGTCGTAAACAGCCACTACGCGCTCCAAACACCGACACACATTTTCGGTGTCAACCGGAAAAAGGCCTCATACGCCATCGAGCCATATCCTCTACAGACTATTAATTAATTTATCTTAACGGTAACTTGAGCTCTTGTTCCTCTGAGCGCACTTCACGTTCTGTCAACAAGATGAACGTCCCTTTCTTCTAACCAGAGATGACCAGGATGAGGTCACAGCCTACATTTATCTGAACCCTGAAGGCTCGCTCCCTCACTATCGCTATCCTTCCTGGTCTCGCCTTGTTCCAACTTCCTCGCCTACTAGAGCGCCTACACCACCGGCTTGCGCCCGGGATACGACCGCCATGGCGGCCCACCCGGCCCCGGCTCCGGCCAACGGGGACGCCCAGAGCAGACACAGCAGCTCCCAAGAGGATCTAGATACCTTGTCGTCCTCGTCGTCGGATGCGCCAGGTCTCACCACTCCCGCTGCGACCTTTGTGCTGGATGATAGGACAGAGAATAATGATGATGCTGCCGCCGCCAAGTCCGCTGCGGGACCTTCTTTCTTCAGAAGAGCGGTACAGAGACTGGGCCTCAACTCAGTCCTCCTGATGAGTATGTTCAAGGGCTCTATGGCACCAGTCATATGTATCGCCATCTACCAGGCCGCTGCGGTCAGGCAGCTTCTGACTACTCTGGTATGTCCCGGTTGTCTTGCCAGGCTGTCCCCAGCGTCCCGCTCGAACGACTGACGGAGGTCAACTAGGGCTACCTTTCTGCCGTGATATCGGTCTTGTCCCTTGCTCCCCTTCCTCGTGGCAAGTTCCTACAGAATATGGTATTGAACTTGTTGTCCATGTCAGCCGGAGCCGGTATGGGAATTCTGGTGACTTGGTCCTCGGTCCAGGCACGACTTCACACGTCCAATCTGCTCGAGTTGGAGCAGTATATCGAGACATATGGTCGCGCACCCTACAACGCAAGCCAGAGCGCCGTCTGTGGTGTCTGGCTTTTCTTCAACATCTGGGCTGTCAACATCTTCCGGGCCAAATTTCCCGCCTTCAACCTGCCAGTCATCATCTACAGCATCTTTATCAACATCTCGAGCACCTTTGGGCCCCAATTCCCCACGGTGAAGACCGCTGAGTCTTTTATCAGGGAGTTACTCATCGCAATGCTAATAGGTAATTCAAAGAAAGACCACCCAGACTTCATATCAACGAGAGCTCTTCATCCGTCCAAGAAAAGAATGCAAGGCTGACTGATGTTTTCTTTTTTCCAATGGAATTTTAGGTTTGGGGGTTGGAGCAGGCTGTTCTCTGTTCGTCTTTCCCATCTCGACGAGACAGATCGTCGTCAAGCAGATGGGAGGCGTGCTTGGGCTTTTCAAGAAGGCCATCACGCTGGAGAAGGAGTATCTCCAAGGCCTGGAAAAGGCTGACATGTTTACTATCGAGGTTACCGAGACCTCGACCGGCCAACCATCGGATGACAAGAAAGCTGGTAAAAAGGACGCAGGACCACCGTTGACAGGAGAGCAGAAGACGGCCATGGCCCTCAGAGGTGTCCTGACCGCCTCGAGGGAGCTGATGGGCAAGATCTATGCCGATCTCAAGTTTGCCAAGCGGGATGTCGCCATTGGGTATCTGACCCCAAAGGATTTTGGGCACCTTTACGACCTTATGCGCGGCTTCATGATCCCAATGACTGGCATCGGCGTCATCATGGACATCTTCCAGGTTCGTCTCCTCCATATGAAAATCCCTCGTGAGGGTGTTACGAGCAATTTTCCGTCGCGTGGGGTGAAAGAAGAAGGAAAAAAGGTGGACTAGCTGACTGTCCTTCTAGAAAGTCGGAAGAGAGCGAGGCTGGGATGGCGTTGAGGGAGTAAGCGACGAGGCACAATATATAGGTGGTTTCATCCGCGACGCTGTGGACAAAGAAGACTCCCAGAGGATCTGGAACGACATCATGCAACAGCTTCACGAGCCCTTCGAGATCCTGTCGGAGGCTCTACTAGCGGGAATTGACCATGCTGCCATCCTGATGAGAATTTTGCCCCCATCAAAAGAGCAGAAAAAGGCCTCTGATAAGAAGAAATCACGCGCCGACACCGGCGCCGAGGCTGATGTGGAAGAGTCGGGCGCCGACCTTCGTCCAGGAGAAGTTGGGTACTCCAAGGTCGTGCAAGAGAAAATGGACCTGTTCAACTCTCGTCGAGGTGAGATCCTCCGAGTCTGGGCCAAGGACAAGGGTCTGTGGAGAGACGGCAAGCTAGAGAACTGGCACACGGACAGCACGCAACAGTTGGAGAGACGCCAGAACGACCAGATTCAACTCTTCGTGGTGCTCTACCTCGAGAAGCTGGTGAGTCGTGGAGAACTCTTTACCTCATAGCATGGCCCGTCAGCTGATCACACCGTGTCAAAACAGATGCAAGCGACCGGCGAGGCTGTCATGGATTTTGTTTCGTTCGCTGAAGAGAAACACCGTGACGGGTCGATCACTAAAAAGCACCTCATCGCCCCAAGCCTGCACCATCTGAGGAAGTGGGCTCTCAGCATCTTCCAGGAAGACGACTCCTCTGGTGAGGACTCACCCGACATCCTGGAACGAGGCGGCAATGTGGTTTTCGTCGGCGAAGCCTGGCTGCACAAGAAAGACCCCGAGCATCTTCCTCCTACAAACGCCTTGGAGAAGATTGGCAATTCTTTGAGAAACTTTTCCAATTTCTTTGGCTCTGCAGAGTCAATTTTTGGGCTGAGGGTCGCCATTGCCACGATGGTGAGTCCCAGAGAATGACAATCCCCTCTTCTATGATATTTCCTATGGCAAAGTCTTTTCTCCAAGCTAGCATCCTTCAAAGGCCTAGTATGACCGCGCAGGCATCGAACGCTGGCGAGGAGGCCGCTCTTTTCCCTACCCTGAAGACGCGTGTATATCCTTCTAGGTTAATCTAAGACTTGTGCAGACTGTTGGTATTGCCGCATTTCTAGAGAGCTCTCAGGCCTTCTTCATCGAGCAGAGAGTCGTATGGGCCTTGATCATTATCGCAATCGGCATGACACAGAGTAAGCCTCTCGCTCTTGAGAAAAGATAAACCAAATAAAAATGGTTGCGTTTGTATCGAATTGACTACTGAACGACTCTCTTTCACAGCTTCTGGCCAATCGATATTCGGCTTCTTTTGCAGAGTCGCGGGCACGGCCGTTGCTATGGTCAACTGTTACATCATCTGGTATATTGTTGACACCAGACTCCCTGGGGTTCTCGTTTTCCTTTGGCTCTTCACATTTGTAGAGTATTATTTCTTCTTCAAATATCCTCGGTTCATCCCGATGGTAATGATCTGCATTGTCACCCAGGTCAGTTGACTTCCCCGAGCTCTCATGAAGTGCTTGCTTTGATCTAACGCAGTATCGCGTCCAGTATCTTATCATCGGCTACGAATTGCAAACTCAGGCGCTGGGCATCGCCGCATCAACAGCCAGTGGCCAGCGATATTACCCGTACGTCTTTCGTTTTAGTTTGCCTCAAAAATCCAAGGCTGACTCATTGACATGGACTCAGATTGTACGAGCTTGCGCCGTATCGCCTTGCAACTGTTGCAGGAGGCGCCTTGGTGGCCTTCTTCTGGACAGTTTTCCCTCGACCACTAACGGACAGAACATGGCTTCGAAAAGACTTGAGCGCAACACTCTATCTGCTTGCCAACTACTACAGCGTGATCTACACCACAATGAGGTCAGCCTTGACGGAAGACATTGGCTCCACAGAAATCCCAGGCTCGGCTGCGCACAGCCTCTTCAAGGTCAGGCGGAAGCTGTATGGAAAGTTGCTGCTCCTCATCCCATCGATCCAGGCGCACACAAACTTTCAAAAGTTCGAGCCAAGTCTGGGCGGAAAGTTTCCTGCTGAGCAGTATCAAGACATGATCCACCGGTGTACACGGTAAGTTTTCGGACAGGTGTCTGCTTCCCGACCTTATCTTGGGTTTTTCTTCTTTCCTTCCTTTTTTTTTATTTTTTTATTTTTATTTTAAATCCAAACCTTTAGATCATGCTGACATTTTTCTGCTTTGCCAGAATGATGAATTACTTCACACTCATGTCCTACATACTGACCTATGCCCCCAAGGAATCCGTCGAGGAGTCGGACAGGGCCTGGCGGCGTGTCCTGGGCGAAGTCCTCGACGAGGTAACCCCACTACATGTGCAAATGCTGTCAACGCTCACACTTCTCTCCAACGCCCTGATGTCCGGCCAATCTCTTCCCCCGCTCATGGCCCTGCCTAAACCATACGAGATGACACGCCGCCTGCTGAGCTTTACTCCTATCCAGTCCGACGAGACAGAAGCACACAACGCGCCGGCCTCGCCATCTTCGCCGGCCTCCGCCCCATCATTTGGCCTCCGACGTTCTGAATCCCGTGGCATGGCCAGCAACAGTGGAGGGGACAACAGTAACCAGCAACAGCTGGATGAAATCTATGAACCTGAGGCGTGGAATCTGCTGGACGCACGCAATATGGAGCAGAAGGGCTATACGGAGTTTGCCGTGTTCCAGGTGGCCTCGACCCTCGTTCTGTCAGAGCTTCACGGCTTGTTGCGGACAATTCAGGAGCTGGTGGGCACGGTCGACTTTAGCTTCCGTGTCGAGCCCAAGAACACCAGTCAGTCGTCCTTGGAGAGTGTGCTGAGGCTAGGCACATGGACCTCGAGGGCTACAATGGCCGAGGCTCAGCGTAGCAAGACTGGGAATGATGCTGGAAATGGTGTGCAGGGTAAGGGCAAACAAGAATGATGAATGCTGCATCACGTACGAATGTATTAATTACACAGCATTTGTTAGATACCATTTTCGACAGGTCTGCTTAATATACTTAAATAACCCATGGGTCTGTCTGGTCCTGTGTTCCCATCAAAACGTTGATGGGCGTGCTCTTTGATGTTATACTCATTCTCAGCGCCACAACCAGCCTCAGGTCGACCAATGTCGCCAGCCTCTGCTATTTACCAGCCACACCTCTTCCCCGCCTCGGCTCTTCGCTTTGTTCTACACGCAAAATTCACTTCTTGGAAGCCATGCTCGCGTATCACCTCAGCACTACACATCCTAGTCGCTCGGCAGCGAGTGACAAGAGTCTGGGTCACGTCTTGGTGGTGTCTTTAACAGAGGGTTTATAGATGCTTCAAAAGATCGCGCAAACATTTCCCGGAGTAGAATTACTGACTGGTCTGACCACCTCCAGCATCGGGTCATGTTGAGCCCCCTCCACCCTTTCTCTCCCCACGGTAAGAAAATAGGGCCCCCCCCTTTGGGCGTCCTCGTAGATTTGTCATATTGCGACTGTACGCAGTATCGAACCACCTGGGCGTAAATCCCCGGCGTTGGGGCGCATTAGCTGGGTCAGATATTAGAAGGTTTTTCCTTTTGTTGCATGAAATTAATGCATTATGCAGGCGGCCATAATCATTAATTACTGGCAGACAAATGCCAGCAGTTCTGACTACGTGGGGCTGACCACGCCCCGTCCAGGGCACATTTAGGGGGCCGATTGGCCCATGGATGGTAAGGCTGCTGTTGGCAATTTTGTGGCCCTCTCTCCGCGTGAGAGAGATGTTAGACACTTCCCAGCGTATCCTGCCATGCTGTATGTACGATCCAGGGTCCCACCGCGCCCCGAGCCTTGTCCCTCCATATCTGCTCTAGTATAAACATAATGTAGTAGAGTAGTAGTGCATGCTTTGATACAGTAGTTCCTATGTAGTTGCTGGGATACCACGAGCTGATTCAAGGAAGACGGGACCAAAGGGACAAATTGACTGCCAGCGACCCCACCTTCTTGAATCATACCATGTACGCATGCATACCTGTGTGTCTTCAGGAATCCAGTACCGTAGTATGTGTGGTAGTCAATGGGATCTTAGACGGCGGTATTGGTAACTACTTTACCCATTATCGTCTTCGCTAGCAATCATAGCTGCTAGTTGAGTTAGGCTGCCCGCGTGCCGCTCTCCCCATCTGGACTTGCATGACGAGGGGGGCTTTCAGGGCGCAAACCGAGGAGCAATATGGTGCGTGTAGACAGATAGGTATGCGGCGCAGCTCTGTTCCGAGTGGAAGACCCAGCCCTACCGCGATCATGTACAGAGTGGATGCCAGAGACTGTCGTGAAGGACTCTCTCTCCATGAACAAATGACGCTCTTTTTTTCTTCGAAATATGGGTCAGTAGTGGACCCCTGTTGAATGCACATCCATCAAGATCAGTCCACCAAATCGAAACGTTTCAAGGTATTCCCACTTCATCGGGTTCGTAGGAGATTTTAGTGCCGCGCCTTGCCTGTTAACTAGAACAGCGAAAACAGCGTAGGGCCACGATCTGAGATCCAAGGGACAGGCGAGCATTAAAAACCAGTTGTGTGCCAGGTTGCCAGGCACACAGGGAAAAGGGGGAGTGAAACCAGTGTCTCTCCATTTTGTTCTGACGACGACCTAGCCCCGCCGAAACTGCCTTTATTCCACCTTGACTATGACATCGGTGGCGCGGCTGGCGCCGAACCTTGTTTAAACCCGGCTGCGTGGAGCTACAATCACGGGCAAACAGCAAAACTCGTAAGAGGCGGCGGTGAAGCCTGGCCTGGACTCACGCATGGTGTTGCTACTACTGCAGGTCGACCGGCAATGGAAACGCCGGGGAAAAGGGGGGGCGGTCGGTAAGCCTGTTTACACCAATAATGTATAGCAGTTTAGTTGTCCTGGCCTCCGCCTAGGACCTTGATGAGTGCGTTTGGTGAGAAAACGAAAACGGATCTCGAGGGCAAGACCATTCATCATAGTACTAACCATTGTAGGCTCAACGGCTGATCTGTCTTCCATCGCATTTAGCGGCTCTGTGGGGTTTGTTGAAGATCCTTCGTCTGTGGGGGATGACGGGTGTCTCGATGATGATGCTGCTGCTCAAACCGTATGCAGGAAGAGCAGAAACAACTTGTTGTGTGGCGCTGAGAACATTTTGAGCCATCTGTTTTCCTTGCTTTTCTTCTTCTTTCTTTTGCCTGCCCGGCGACAGATCGTGATATCAGTTGTAGAGGGGCTGCTGCTGATTCATGGGGTGGTGCTAGGCCTATCGCATTACATCTCGGGCGCGCGCAGCGTCTCATTGGGCTTTTCTAAGCGGGAGAGGGTATTCCAAAGAATGTGGAGTCACGATTCGACCCACCAAGAAGTAGAGTCAGAAAAAGTTTAAAAAGAACCGACAAGAAGAAGATTTTTTTTTGATAAAAAAAAAGGCGAAGGGTGGGGGAGAGGACGATCAGTCATCAGGGCCAAAAAAAGCATGCACAAAGGTCTGGTGGTTCCCATCAGCTCACAAGCAAGCTTGATGCAAGTCTCACATAGGAAAAGAAGATAAAGGAAAAAGGAAAAAGAGACAAGGATCGATGCTGTAGTGGGTGGATGAGTGGGGCCGGCGCATTGCTGGCATACCAAGGTCCAAAAAACACAAGCCATCACACGTCCGGGTCATCTCGATTTGAGAGCAGCAGGCTTTCAGGGGCCCCCAGCATGAAGCAAACCAGGGGGAGAAAAGCACTCGTACCATAGTAAAGGAGAACGAAGAAAGGGGAGGAGGGCAATGGATGGATGGGTCACGACCCGTCAAACCCGTCAGACCCGTCTGGCCCATTCGGACCCATTCATCTGCAAGTGCGTCCCTTCCCGCTTGTGCCAAGAAATGGACCTCGTGACGTAGGGCCAAAAAGGGTGTTGAGCCCGCGGGTTGGCCCTGGCAACTGGGCGCCTTTTTGTCCCAGCATACTGAACGTGCTATAAGTAAGGCGTAGACTCTGCATCTGTAGCGTAGTGCCATGGTGAGATATGAGGAACGGAACGCGGCAAGGAGAGGGGAAACAAAATCAGGTTTCCCTAGCAGCATGGCTTGGTCTTACACCACTATTACCCCGGAGTATTTGATTACTGTGTACTGTATGTACCATAGTAGAGTAAGACGTTCGTTCTCCTAGTCCCCAGAAAGCTCCTGGTTTGGTGCTAAATTTCATCGAGGCCTCCTTCCCCCAAAAGCTGTCCTCCCCTTGGAGGGAAAGGGTGGCTGCTTCGATACGTACCGGTACGTACCATTGTAGTTGTAACCGATAGGCATTTTTTGGTGATACTGTAGCTACTGTAGTACGTCAATATTGATATCCTTTTCATCATGAATGAAAATTCTGCCGACAGGGAGGAGGGGACGAAAGAAGAGAAAAAGATCAGCCCGGTCAGATGTACCACGACCCCGTCTGATCTCGGAGTCGTCCCGGCATCGCTGCCAGTAGGGCCTCATCGGGCTCTCTTCCTCTTCCCAAAGCAGGGCCAGACCAGGCCAAAGAGGGGTGGATGGGCAGCGAGAACAGGGGTCATTCCGGGTTCTTCGGCTCTTGGGGTACGTCCTGGCAGCCCTGAACGCATCATAGTGCTCTCTGTGTGTGAAGATCTCCTCGGCACGCCCCACAGGCACTTGTCCCGAAACTGGCACCGTCGTTGCCGTTGCCGTTGCCATAGCATGCATACAGAGCCTTTTTTCTTTCTTTCCTTTTTTTCTTCTTCTTCTGTCTCTTTCTTTTCTTCGCTCCTGTCTCTATTCTTCCCTCCTCTGCATGTGGTGAGGTGGTACGGAGGCGTATGTGTGCGTGCATGTACTTGGGATGTAGAACCGGGAATCTGGTACAATCAGCACATAGTGACCATTTACTCACAAGACCTTTCCTCGCAGAAGACTTGTTGCGTTTCACACGCTGGGGCACGCGCCGTTGGTACCGTAGCATGTCAACTCGACTTGCTACAAGTCAGTACTGACCAGTCCTTGCCGTTGTTCCCGGAACCAGCCCCTGACGTCGTCTACCTCTGCATGGACAGACACGACTCCTCTCAACTGCCCAGTTTGCACTGCACCTTTTTCTTTTTGTCCAACTGCATTTCATCATGCATATGTAGTACATGCATACATACCCTATATACTTTGCCGACGCGTGGTACAGGACGGACAATATAAACAGTCTGGGTCGCGCTGGTTGTTTGGCTGGGATTAGTTGGTGGGTGCTTCACGATCCCAAAATTCAACGCATGGGCATAAACATCGAATTTTGCGAAGAGAACCCCGGCGCCCCAGGTCACGGCTATATCCATATCCTTCCTCATTTTCAACCACAAGACCAGCCAGTACATACATAGTACATAATAAACGGAACGCCCGAGGTAGTATTCACCCTCCTGGACGCTTTTTTCTGGATCAACCTGTCCGGCACCAGTTCCACAAGACAAACTCTCTACCTCTCTTTCCGTCCTCGTCCCCGTTCTCCTCCCCGGCTCCCTGTCCCCCAACCCAACCACAACAAAGACCTTGGACTCTTGTCATCTGCCTGAGACTCGCGTTTACCAAGGTCACCTTGCCGCTGTTGTGTATCTGCGTACCTCGTCGGCACGATCTTGTTCTGTACCATAGCCTTAGGAGTTGGCAGTGGTACTCGATCGATTGCCCCTCTCGGGCTGTACAGTAAGGAAATCCTGCTGCCGCCTCGCATCACGCAGCACTTCCCGGAGGCCTGCTATGTCCCATTAAATGTGGGTCCCCGTGCCATATTACCCCCCTCGACGTTGTACATGTGCTCAGTCCACAAACTGCGACATACATTCCCTTTCTTTGCATTGCATCTTGCATCTGATTCCTGACAGACGGCAGACGAGGTACGACAGACCACGGCCAGCCCCAGTCAGTTATCGCTTTATGATCCAGTTCCAGAGAAATACGTGAGTCTACCTTTTTTTTCTTTTCCTTTTCAATTCCTTTCATTCTCTCGACTCTCTCTCCCTCCATTGCTTCCATTTTTATCCCCCCCCTCCACCCCCCTTTCCTCACTCCGGCTTATGCGCCCTAACGCGCTCATCTCCTGGTGTTCATCATCATCATCATCATCATCATCATAGACGTGCTTCTTTTTTACTTTGATGCACTTCCTGCTTGGCACATTCCTACATCTGTTGGCTCCCCTCTCTTTTCCCTCTCTCCCTGGTTTTCTTTTAAGAGAATTTTCAGCTTCCCACCCAGGTCCTGCTCAGTAACGACCAGGAGTGGAGGGCAAACGCCTCTTATTCCCATCACGAGCATACACCTTGATGCCTTCATGTGCTTGGGTTGTCTCTATAACCAAATAATCCCTTAATTGGGCTGAATACATGCGAGGTCCGGGGGCTTCGACAGGCCCTTGACTGACCGCATTGACTCACCGCACCATTTTCCCTGCACTTCTGGTCCATTCAGATCCAAATTCATGAGTCGTCATAATGTCGATCCGGGGAGGTATGGAGATAGCACATAATTCATACCTGGACAACCCACCTGTCTCCAGTTCCAGTCGGTCACCACTTGCTCCTCATTGCCCAACCTGTCTCCCTCCCTTGTCTTTTCTTTCTCTTGTGTCTGTCTTACTGCCTTGTTTTTTTCTCTTGTGCTCCGCTTCAGTCCTCAGACGTGAAATGCTAGAATCCTAACGTTGTTGCGAACATGAATACAGGCACGGATGCCCCCCCGCCTGAACAATATCCTTACTACTATTCGTCGAGAGGCACGGTTTACTACACTCCTCGGAGCACAACCGCGGATAGACGCCCCCGCCGCATTGCAGCCACCAGCCCAAGTCTGCCAGCGCCACACATTGGTCCTCGCCAACGCCGCCCGCACTCAATCCACATCGTTTCCTATCCTTCCGGATACATACCCCACGATCTGAGACCTAAACCAACATCCAGAGACCTGCGCAGGCAACGGAGGAAAGAAGAAGAAAAACAAAAGAAGAGGGAAGAGGAAGACAAGAAGAAGGAGGAAGGAAAGCAGAGAAGGCAACGTGAACAGGAGGAGAGGAGGAGAAGAAGGGTTCAGGAACAACAAGACAAGAGGAGGTCTTTTGCTTCGTCGTTCTCTGGCGGTGAAAAGAGGGTTGGTACCTTGCTCAACAAGTTCAAGGCTGCTTTCTCGTCCAACGAGGCCGAGTCGCAGAGATCAACAGCAGCCCCCGACGTCGTTGCGACATCGGGAACAACAAGATCGCAGCCGAGAGCACGGGTGCGCCCTGTCAGCTGGTTGAGTGTTACGAGCAGGCTGTCAAGAGCAGAGGACACTCTCGAGGCTGAGCAGGTTTCATTGTCGCGTGTGTCGTCCCTCCGAAGGCCAACAACCGCACCGCAGTGCTCAAGTCGGCGGCACACCCTTTCTTTACCTTACGTGCCAGGTCTTGCACCAACCCCACCTCTCCAGCAGCAGCAGCAGCAGCAGCAGCAGCCATCCTTCCCCTCTGGTCCTGGCCCATCGTCGAGACCACATATACAATCCAGGTCACCACCGACGGTTCCCGTCCTGAACACCTTGGACGCCACAATGGTGGACATCTCACTGCGCGGACCAAATCTGACCCATGGCTCGGGCCTCACCGCAGCCAATCCACACCGGAACAGCTTCATGTCTGTCAGGTCGGCCAATAAGAGTGTTGTCAGCTCTTCTGTGCAAGAAATTCAGCAGCCAAAGCCCACTGCTTCTGGTAGCGGACTCTCATGTACGATCCTCCTGGCAGAGCCCAATGTTTTCCTGACGGGATTCGACCACGATGGCCACACGCGACAGGAAAGCCACAACTCGACTGCCCTTCTGCGGGGGAAGCTGCAGCTCAACGTGTCAAAAAATACCAAGATCAAGTCCGTTACGCTCAAACTGTTGGGAAGGGCGCGCACGGAATGGCCAGAAGGAATCCCACCCCTCAAGGTCGACATGTACGAGGAGGAGTCGTTAAGGACTCAGGCCCTGACCTTTTTCCACGCCATGCACGACGGCTGGGAGACCGAGTTTGGCAACCAGTGCTCATACACGCTGAAGGGTCAGAACAACCACCCCAGCTCGAATCTCATCAGGCCGTCTCTGAGCCCTGGAGACTCGGGCAGCTCGCTGGGCAGTCGGCCCCGGTCGAATTTGAGCGCCAAGGAGTTGAAGAAGCTGTCGCTCCGCTCGGTCGAGTCCAGAAGTTTTGGCAAGAGCGACTCGCCAGCAGCGAGCCAAGTGCAGGCTAAAGGCTTCAAGGTCTTCTATCCCGGCACGTACGAGTACACCTTTGAGCTCCCCATCGACCACCACCAGCTCGAGACCATCAAGCTTCAGTACGGTTCCGTCAAGTGGGAGCTCGAGACGACCGTCGAGCGTGCAGGCGCCTTCAAGCCCAATCTCCACGGCAGCAAGGAGGTGTCGATCGTGCGCGTGCCAGACCAGATGTCGCTTGAGACGTCGGAGCCCATCTCGATCTCGCGCCAGTGGGAGGATCAGCTCCACTACGACATCATGATCTCTGGAAAGTCCTTCCCCATCGGCGCCAAGATCCCCATCGCCTTCAAGCTCACGCCCCTCGCCAAGGTGCAGGTCCACAAGCTGAAGGTCTTCGTGACCGAGTCTATCGAGTATTGGACCAACGACAGGAAGGTCACCAGGCGAGACCCGGGGAGAAAGATTCTCCTGCTCGAGAAGACAGCCGGCAGGCCCATCGACAAGCAGTTCGCGTCGAGTGAGCTTCGCATCCTCAGCGGCGGAGAGCTGTCCCCAGACCAGCGGTTCCAAGCGCGTGAGTCGGCCGCCCGCAGGAGGACTCTGGACGCACAGCGCACTGGGTCGCTGGCCCAGCCTCTGCCAGAACCTACGGAGAACCTGCTCGGCGATCTGGACCTCGGTCTAGAGACGTACTGGGGCTCGACGGAGATGGAGATGAATGTCCAGATGCCGACCTGCGAGATGATGGCCAAGGACAAGTCGCTGCGGATGCACCCGGACTGCAGCTGGAAGAACGTCAACGTGTACCACTGGATGAAGATTGTGATGCGCATCTCCCGCCTGGATCCTGACGACCCAGCTGGCAAGCGCAGGCGGCATTTCGAGATCAGCATCGACTCGCCCTTCACAGTGCTCAACTGCCGCGCGACACAGGCCAACACTGCCCTGCCTCAGTACGACAGCCCAGACGCCCTGAGTGATTTCCGCCGGCAGACGTCCTGTGGATGTCCCGACGCGCAGGTCCTCAGCACAAGCGGAGGCAACAACGGCGGAGGACTTACGCCAGAGAACACCAGCGCCACGCAGCTCGACAGCGTTGCGCTCCCCGCGCCACCTCGCGCAGCTCACCTGCACACGGCATCGCAGGGCATCAACGGTAACTCCGCCTCCACCTCTCCAACTACGGCACCTACTGGCGGCCCAGGCGGCCTAAACTCGACGCCGCCCACCTCGGCGAATCCCCTGCAGCGGGTACGTGACCAGGACGCCTCCGCCCGCCCAATCCACCTCATTCGGTACCCATCATTCGACCCACCGCCCTTCAATGCCGATAACCCTCCGCCGCCGATGCCTACACCCCCGCCCAATTACGACCTTGTGGTCGGAACGCCAAGTGTCGATGGCATGGCGGGTTACTTTGAGCGTCTCCTCCGCTACGAGTGCCCAAACCAGCAAGAACAAGAAGAGCAAACGGGAAGCAACTATTTCCCTACAGGCGCGGACGGGCCTGAAGCAGAACCTAGCTCGTCGCAAGCAGGACACGCCGGCACCGGCGGCGGATCGGACGATGATGGGGATGACACGGAGGTCGAATCCGACTCCGACTCGGCGGATGAGAGGGGTCCTGCTCGGACGGTCAGTCGTGCGGGCACGGTGAACATCGCAAACCCTCGTACTCCTGGAGGGAGGCTGGTCCCGAGCAGGAGTTTTGAGATCACAAGGCCTGGCGCCAATTCAAACTTCACGCTTGACATGTCTGGTGTGATAAGAAGGGGAGGAGGCACGCCCAACACTGACCAGAGCGGAGCTTGACACCACAAAGTATCCCGACACTGGATGAAATCCGCAAGACCGATTGGATAGTGTCTGGCAGGAGCGGCTATGGACGATAGTACGCGCAGGGGAAGGACAGACAAGAGAGATGTGACGACGGCAGTACAGATTGCCATCCAAGGTGACGATACTACGATGGAAGATTCAACCGATTGTTATGTGTATTGGGTCTCTTTGCTTATTCGTTTATTCCCCCCCCCCCTTTTTTTTTTCTTTCTTCTTTGATTTCTCTCTCTCTTTGGAAAGATCTCCAAAGATCCTTGCTACTCTTGCTACATACCCACATACATGTAAACATGGGCGACATGGCTGAAAAAGCATTGGCATTCCTTGGATGGCTGAACTCGTTCGGAGTGGGAGGAGGGTGGGCATATTGGGACAGCGGCCGTTCTGGGGTTCATTTGCACGAAGCATTGACAAGGAGAATGACTGGATAATGAGATCTCTTTTTCCTTTTTCTTCAAGAAAATAAATCTATCAAATTATGCAAAGACTGTCCACTCATCGCCTGTATGTGACTTAGTATGTGCAATACTGGAGGGTAAGATGCTGCTTTGCCTGGTCGTCACGACCTTCAGTTGACTTCGAGGAAGGAGGAAGGATTATTGGACAAGGCGAGGCAGGGCAGCTCGAACCAGGCCAAGTCTCGGTACTGCAGTCGCCGTCTGGCTCTTCCCAAGTAGATATAGAGTGCTGCACTTTGATTTTGGGAACAGAGGTCTTTGTTTTCTTTCATGGGTGAGTCGTCTTTTGTAGTCGACTTCGGGTACGCGTTCGAGGGTATTGTACGCGACTTTGCGGGGAGGATTAAGTAAGCGGAGAGCACGTGATGACCCAGTTATCAACCTCACATCACCTCCCGATCTGGCGACAGACTGAACAATTCAAGGATGCGTTGTTATTTTCTGTTTAATAATCTTTATTCCTTTGTGATGGATGATTTAGGGCTGGACGATGGGCGTGGATGTTGCCAGCAGCTTGCTTGGGTGAGGAGTTAGGCTGCTACAGACGAGACGCACTCTTGATATGGGACTGGCAACCTGAGGAGGCGAGGGCGATCGGTGCAGAGGGTTCCTGATGGATTAAGCTATGCCGAGATGCAAGTGCTCTCAATATGGGATTCTCGTTTATCTGGGTGTGATCGCACTGTTGCTTTCCATTTGAGCTCAACTACGCAATATGAAGAGTCGTCTCGACCATGCCAGACGGGGCGGCTCGAGGAGCCTTTGGACAACAGATGGATCTGCCCTGGGGCGAAAAAATAGAAGCGAGCTCCAATATGGCCAAATACCACAAGATCGTTGGGCGGAAGTATCTTTCTACGTTGTTGAGGGTATCTGCTGTGGCGGCCCAGTTGAAGGGCCCCTGGACTTTACTTAACCATGGTGGAGCAGGAAGAGCGTGTGAAAAGCTTCAATTACGTGTGAGGAACAAATGAGGCAAGTAAGGCAGCGCGTTCTACGGTGGTAGTTGTTGCTGTTGTTGTTGTTGGTATTTCATCTGAAAAAAATGTGGCTGCTGCCTGGGACCTCTGCCAAAGTCTGCCACCTATCTTGTTGTGAATAATGCCCCGCGATATCGACCTTAATGACACACAAACTCACTCACTCGAAGCCTCCACAGAATCAGACGCGTCTGCCAGCTTGTCTACAAATTCCCAACCTGCCAATTGATCGCGCTCCCAACTTTCCTTCCTGTCCTTTCTTTCTTCCTCCCAACAACACACAACGAGGATTCCCAACCACCAACGTGCACCCATCAAGGCTTTTTGCTGCTTTCGTCCACGTTTTCAACAGACTTCTCTTTGCCAGTGTTGTTTTCACTCTTCTTCTCTTCTCCTCGTCATCAGCTTGTCACGTCACAAGAGGCGCGCCAGCTACCGCCATCGCCAGACAAACATCGCGATCGACAAGCTCCTTCTCCCCCCCCTTCTCTCTCTCTCGCCCATCCACCATCACGCGGTGCTCAGCGCATCTTTCTCGTCGTCAACCTCGTTGACGATCCCCCTTTCTGCCCTCTTTTCCCCTTTTTCCCCTTTGTTGCAGAGGCCATAGCCCATCGCGGCCCCTCTAGCATCATCCCCCTCCTACTAACCTTCGGTCCATAATACCGTTGGTTCGCGTGCGTAGAGGCTATAACCCCTCTCGCAAACCCCCTTTCCTAACCTTCGGGCAATAACCCCCGTTGGTTCGCGATCGCAGAGGCAATAACCCCTCTAGCACGCTCTCCCCCTCCAACCTTCGGGCAATAATCCCCGTTGGTTTGCATTTGCAGAGGCAATAACCCCTCTCGCAACTCTTTCCTTCACTCGTCAGGCCCGCCACACCTGACGACATCGACAACCCGAGTGAAACTCGCCAGCTGTTCGACTTCTTCTTGCCCCATCTCGTCAATCACCAATCGGCAGAAGTCAAGATGGCGATTTCCCCTTCTTCTCGTCTTCCCCGTGCCCTCGCTTTCCTGCTGTCGGCGGGTCCTCTGCTTCTTCTGGCGCTCTACAACTACCCGTGGTCCTTGCTTGACGACGGTTCCCAGGACATCGCCCAGGTCGCGGGAAATTTCCTCGCGGCCTTCGTGTACGGAACCTCCGCCATCGTCTACATGGTTGCCTGCCAAGTTACCATCCTCTTGGCCCTATACTATGTGTACAAGGTTCATGGCGACCAGAAGAAGCACTGGGCCCGTCTTGCGGATGTGAATGCGCGTCACCGCTCCGAAAAGACCGGGCTCCAGATCGAAATCCGCCTGTTGCGTAAGGATCTTGCCCGCTACACCGACGAGGCTGCCTCGGCGCTCTGGAAGGAGGCTCGAGAGCCTTCGGTGCTGTTCGGATCATCTGCGCCTGAGATCGCCAGGCTTAACGACGACCTCCGCGCAGCAAACAGGAAGATCGAAGAGCTGGAGGCCGCCGCCGAGGCCGCAGCCGAGGCCGCCGAGCAAGGCCCTGATTTGCTTTCCCAGTACGAGTCGAAGAGTGCGTACCTGCAGAGCGAGGTCGACCGCCTGCAGAGGGACAACTCTCGGCTCCAAAAGAAGGCATTTCTCTGGGATCGGGTTATGGAAATCGGCAAAGGACTGACGGCGTCTGTCCAGCAGGTGGTTCGGGTTTTCGAGGCCCGTGTTAAGGTGCGCAAGCACCTCAGCACCAAGGCCAGCCTGAACCTGCGCGCACTTGGGCGTCGCAACACCTCCCTGCTGGTCATGATCCGCCACCTTACCAGCCAAATCAAGAAGGTCACCTCCGAGCACGAAGAGTTGAAGTCTCTGTACCTGAAACAGGCCGACCTTCCTCCCAAGTTCCAGTCTACAGCTGAGAGGCAGGCTGCCATGCTCAAGGACTTGACTTGGCGCAACAACGTGGAAGTGAAGTACCGTCTACGGACCACTATCCGCCAGCAGGAAGAGGTGTTGGCCGAGCTGCAGACAACGATCGAGCAACTCCGACAAGACAACGCCCGCCTTGAGGCCGAGACGCTGTGTGTTCGGTGCAAGCGTCCCCTCCACGGCAACGGTAGCTCGGGCTCGGACGACTCGGACGGACCTCCAGGACCCCCGGGACCTTTCTCAGGCGGCTCTGACAACGGCAGTAATGGATCTGGATCTGACGAGGACAAGAGCAGTCGTGCCGGTGCGAAGAAGGTTCACTTCGCTGACCTTGGAAACAATCACGACGACGACGATCCCAAGGACGATGGAGGAGATGACAACGATGGACAAGGTGGCGCCATTTCGGAGGTTGCTGTAACTTAGCAGGTTGCCAGCCAACGTGAGGTCGCTTCCCCTGCCACTCCAGTCACTGTTCACGCTCCAGCCGATGTTGGTCCAACGGTCCAGGTCGATGTCTCTTCGGAGTCTCAACATAATGATCAGCAGCAACAGGAGCAGGTCCAAGTCGAGGAGGATTTGGTGGCCAGTCACACCCACCCCGTCTACGAAGCCTCTTTGGAGCCTCACCACAGCGATCAGCAGCAGCAGCAGCAGCAGCAGCAGCAGCAGCAGCAGCAGCAGCAGCAGCAGCAGCAGATCCCAGCTGTTTCAGCAGTCGAAGCCCCCAGTATGACTTTGACCTCGCAGCCGGTTGATATCCCAGTTCCTACCGAGGCAGAGATCTCTGATACAGCCATGACAGCCAGCAGCGAGGCACCAATGGACCATCCTGTCGACGTAGCTGCACAGGACCCCGTGGCAACGACAGATCCGAACATCACTCCCGTCGTAGAAGACCCAGACGATGGCTGGGCTCACTATTCCATGGAAGTTCCGGATTACAATGAGATTCCCGACATTGATCACAACTTTGACCCCTATGACGAGGATGAAAAAATGGAAGATGCAGAGCCAAACGATTTCCCCGAGGACGACCAAACTCAAGAGCCTCATAACGTCGAGGACATGGAGTGGGACAGCACGGAGCCTGGTATGGACTCCCAGTCTGACTTTGCTGCCAACGCTGGAGTGGCTACGCAGAGCCTTGTGTCGCCTAGCCGTTATGATGAGCAGATGGAGGTCGATGAACCTTTCGACGCCCCGCCCAGATTCTGGAACCAAGGGCAGCCAGTCGAGCCTGGCCCTTCGATGTCCGCCGCTGCCCGTGAGCCCAGACCTTCGCAGTATACAGTCTCTGCTTTTCCCTCGCGGCCTGTCTTTGGTGGTCAATCACAGCCAGAGATGCAGCAGCCGTCCTTGTTTGGCAGTCCTAACCCACCAAGGCCCTCGCCCTGGACAGCCTCAGCTCATCCTTCCCAATCTGCGCTCGGTAGTCAAAACCAAACAGCCACGCCTAGTTCCTCGAGTTTCTCTGCTTCCTTCAGGCCTACACAATTCACTACTTCTGCTTTCTCACCTCGGCCGGCACTGGGCAGCCAAGAGCAGACAGCTCCGCGCCAGATAGATGCGCAACAGACGGCGGCTCCTGGTTCCTCAATCTTCGGCACTGTTCCTGGGTCCTCACAATTCAGGATCTCAGCTCTGCCCTCTCGCCCTGTTCTCGGCGGGCAAGGAGAGCCCGCTTCGCGCCAGACTGATGCCCCTGGATCCTCAGTCTTTGCCCCTACTCCTGGTACTTCGCAGTTCAGGATCTCGGCTCTGCCATCTCGCCCGGTATTCGGCGGCCGAGGAGAGCCCTCTTCGCGCCAAACAGATGCGCCTGGGTCCTCGGTATTTGCTCCTGCTCCGGGCACCTCGCAGTTCAACATCTCTGCCCTACCTTCTCGGCCTGTGCTCGGCGGTCAAGGCCAGACAGCTGTACAACAGCCAGCTCCGCAACAGACAAGCGCGTCTGGTACTTCTGTTTTCGCTGGTCCCCGTCCCGCGCCGCAGTCTACTGTCTTTTCTCTGTCTCCCCGGCCTGTACTCGGTGGCCAGGGCCAGACTGGTGCGCCAGGTCCTTCTTCGAGCATGCAGGTACAGTAAGCTGCCCCTGCCCCTGCCGCCAGTGGTCCTATAAACTAATGCATCGACTTCTCAGGGCCTCTAGCCAGGCAGCCGGTCCACTGCCCTCTCCGCCGCCGGAGCATGTCTCCCCATTCGCCTCCAACCAAGCCGCTCGGGATGAGCCAGGTCAAGACGAGGTTGGAGGCGGATGGAGAGACGTGCTCCGGCGGCAACAAGCCAAGCGACGGCAGCAAGCCAACAGCACAGCTGGTCCCTCTGCGGGTCCAAACTCCGTCTCCTGGCCGCTTGGTACCAAGCGGTCCATACTACAGGAGCGTAACCAAGACGACCTCTCAGACTCTGAGAGAGAGACCTTGAGGCGTCAAGGTATCAAGAGAGTTTGCCGTGACCCAAACTCACCCGCAGAGGAGGCCATGGCTGTGGCCGAAGCTAGGCCCACGGGTCAGGAGACTCCGGTGTCCAATGTCGACGGTCACGATGCTGCAACTTCAGCAGCAGCCGACTTGGACGTTCCAGGGTCCTCGGATCAGACACGCCAAGCATCTTCCGAACCGAATGTTGCAAGCCCACATGCTGCGGATGTAGCAGAGGCTCATAACGGCGTGCTCATCAGCGAGGCTTCAGCCCAGAGCACTGTCGCTGCCGATGCTACAATCCCGGCAAACAACCTAGGTTCGGAAGACGCTGATCCAGAGGACAACGACTTGGATCTGGAAGACGACCACCCAGATACAGAGGTGGATACAGAACCAGAAGTCAACCTGGAGCCGGAGGAGGCCTCCCCGGAAGCAGAGGTCCAGCCAGACACCGAGGCCCAGCAAGGCTCTGCCGTCGAACCAGGCGCAGAGGCCCAACCAGGCGCCGAAGCCGCCCGACAAGGCGCCCAAGTCGAGCCAGACCCAGAGGTTCAACCATACGAGGTTGAACTAGATTCAGATATCGACGGCTTGATAGCCGGACTGGAAGTGGCACTCGACTTGGGCGCGCCGGCTTCGGTGGCCCCGGCCTCGGATGTCCCGGCTGTGGCTGTCCCGGACGGGGGTCCGGCAGCCGAAGATGAGCCCCTCCCCGATTACGTCTCGGACGAGGAGGACCCTGCGGCCAACCCTCCCACCGCTGGCAGCAGCCTGCCCGGTAGCTCGGCCGGGCAGGTCACCCAGGCCATGCGAGAAGAGGTGCGGCTTGCTCTCCAAAGGCAGCGCAGGAACCAGCGGGGCCCGCCGTTGCGACGGCCCCAGCCAAGAAGGCCCACTGCTGCGGACCTCAACCAGCAGGACGCCGACTACGATGCCGACAACGACGAGGCAGGGCCCTCACGGGCCAGGACCGAACCACGGAGGCGTGAGGGGCTCGGTTCAGGATCCTCGCGGCCCGGCCCCTCGGGTGGTGGACGCGTTGAAAAACGTGGTCGCCAACCGAGGAAGCCAAGAAAGGGCTGAAGAGGGTCTTGGGCGAGCTCCTCATCCAGCCCCAAGCCACCCCTCCCCCCCCCCCCGGGCGCCGACCGAATCTGCCATCCTCACCACAGCCCGGGTCGCAGTCAGCTTGTGCGCAAGGCAAGTACGACATAGCCAAAGACCCAAAAGTTTTGGGCTGGAAATCTCATGTATGTGGTAGGATGCGGAAACTCTTCATAAGTGCTGTTCATCATGCTGACGCAAACATTTCTACATCCAGGCAAGAATGTTTACGAGCGCACAAATTCGAGTACAATCAGGTGCTCAGACTGTTTGCAAGAAGAGGGCACGGTTCTCGAGATGGGGTAGGGATGTTATTATCCAAAAAAAAAAAAAAAAAAAAAAAAAAAGAGGAGGACGAGGAGGAGTGGGAAGATGGGACGGAAAAGATGTGGTGAGGGACTGAGTGTTGCAGGAAGACTGGTGTGTGCTAAGAAGAAGGCCCAGGACAAGGCACAGGAAAGGCCCCCGGACGGGACCACGGACGTGAACGGACAGAACGAGACGGCCATGAGCACTGACTGACGATGACCATCGACCAGTACGCGGGGCTGATTACCAAAGGGATCAAGAAGGGTGTGATCTCAGATAGTAAGTCCAGAGCCCCCTGGTGAGCTAACCCATCTTCACCCTTTTAGGTGCCAGGTTTTTCAGCGAACGATATACGTCCCTTGACTACCTCCGGTCGAGAGGGCCTCTCCACTGCAGCAGGGTAGGGTCTCCGGTCCACCAAAAGGAAACTCGTTCAGTTAGGCCACCGAAGGTCTCGCTCACCTCCAGTTATGGAAAATTCGTCAATGTCTTTTGTCTGCGCCGTTGATCACACACGTTTGGTTCCTATCTCTGGGGAAATCAGGCTTGGTTTCCTTTCTTCTTTTCTTCTCTTCTTCCTCTTCTGGAGCAAATCAGGTGAGCTACCCCCTCATGGCCCCTAGTTGTCCCCGGAATCACATCCCTCTCCTCCTCCCCCCCCCCCCTCTCCTTCCCTTCTTCCCTCCTCTTCCATCTTCGTCTCTGTTGCAACAGCTGACTACACTTCTTTCACAGATCTCAGTTTGCAATACTCCAGCAAGGGAAACCAGCCTGGGCGCCCCGCCACTCGAGTCCCTGGAGATAGAGGACAAACAGACATAACAGACATGTGTGATCACGACGCCGACAAAAGACATGACATTTTCCATGACAGGAGGGCGAGGTCGGAAGACCGGTGATGGCCGGACTGACGGGCCTTTTGGTAAAAGTGGCCGTTGATAGACCCGCCCGGCAGTGGAGTCCCCTCTCCCCTGGAGTGGTCAAAGGGATGTTGTCGTTCGACTGGGACACCTGGCATCCTGAGAGGGTGCTGTTGGGGAGGCGAGCCCGGTGGCGATGGCTTGTGATTTGGGAGACCACCTGGCTTTGGTCTCCTGCGGTAGGCAGCCCAGCGTCCGTGTCGCATGGTCAGTCTGTCAGTTAGGGCTCGAGGCGCGGAGGAGGGAAGTCTGGGAACGATCGCAGTGGTCCTGCGAAGGGGTTCTGACCTGACCTGGCCTGGTGCCGCGTTGACAGTATTTGTATGATCATTCGGATGGGGGTCACGGTCATGAACTCGGTGCGGTGATGATGGTATTGATAGGTCAGATGGGGCCAGTGTCATGAGAACTTTGGCGTGATGGTAACGGATATTGTTGATAATACAGATGGAAGACAACAGACGAGAACGACGAGGAGGCTATCAAATACAAGAGGTATAGCCATGAACCGCCGAATAAAGACACCACGCACCTGAACAAACACAAGAGGAATCAAGCAGCTGAGTGTACACAAAGTAACACGAACCGCGCCGATCTGTGTACCTACCGGCCACGTTGCTCGGCAGACTGTGCTGGATTTGTTGTCTTCCAGCCGTCCCTTTCTCTCTCCCTCTCTCTCTCTCTCTGTCTGAACTACAACGTATAGGACTGGGTGCTTGCAGTAAGGGAAGCAGGAGGAGAACAACGGAGGGAGGGAGAGAAAAGGCAGGAGGCAGAGAAGGCTAGATATGGGACGAGTCATGTTGATGGCCAAAGGTTTCCCGGAGGGAGGGTGTTCCTATCGATAAGGGAAGGCTTGACTTGTTTCCCCAAGCGGTCCAGGCCCTCTCCTAGTCCAGTCTTGTGGCGCCGCCGCCGCCGCCGCCGCCCTTTGACCCCCCTGAAGATTGGACCGCTGGCGGTGGAAGGCATGCAAACGCACCTCATCAGCCTCTCAACAGCGCCAAAACATCTGTGCCCCTCTAGCAAAAGCCACAGGCTATAAGCTATTGGGAGGCTTGACCAAGTCGAGAAGCAGCAGCAACAACAACAACAACAAATCAAATATAGTTTCCTCCGTCTATCCTCTACACGTGGCCTTGCTCTTGAGAAAGGATAAAAGAACGTTCTCATGAATAAAGAATACTGGCAGGTCAGCACTAATATACTATGTAAAACTACTACTACCACTACTACTACTACTGCTACTACTACTTACTCTAGAGGGTTCGTTACCAGGTTACTTACCTGACTTACTCAGCAGATAGGGGTGTACCGCCTAACGCCTATTTTCACAGCTTAAGTGAAATATCCAAGCAAAAAAAGTACCTAGACCGTGCTAGACCAGCCTCAAAAAGCTCCCCCCACCCGGATCTACTCGAGCGCGCGCACACCAAAGTCTGCTTCCGCCCCCGTGGAATGAATGTTTGAAGGGATCCAGGGGTACGCGTCAGGTTCCCTGTGCCGTCCCATCCCTTCCCTCGCAGTGGCGTGCAGTGGGGCACCCCCCGTCTTCATCACCCCCTGGTTGTCGATCGCCCAACCGAGTAGGTGTTCTGTGTTAAAAAGTGTTTGGCGCCCCTGCCCTGCCTCCAGCTCGTGATGGTGGTGTTTCGTTTTCTTTTTCTTTTTTCTTTCCCTTCCCCTTCCCTCCCCTTTTTCCTCCCTTTTTAGAGCAAGTAGATGAAGAAGAAGGAGGAGGAATCTCACAACCAAAAGCTCAAGCCACGCCGCCATGTATCGGCCCGTCATGGGACTCGGCTTTCTCTCCAAGCGGTTCATCATCGCCATCGCCCTGACCGTCTGCATCATATGGGCAATACGCTGGCGAGGACCTGAACTGGAGACCATCCGCGACTTCGCACATCTGAGTGGCGGCAATGAGGATCGCTGGATGACCAAGAGGCAGTTTGTCAAGCGAGCCCTTCAGGACGACCTGTACGTCAAAGAGTACAACGGCACAGCGGTGCGGGACCTGTGCGGAAAGACAAAGTGGCAGGATGGCATCGCCATCTCCTGTGACGAGATCGCAGGCGGCATAGGCAATCTGAAGATGAGGCTGCTTGGCTGCACAAGATACGTCATCGAGGCAGGAGGTACGAACACAACCAACAAAAAGAAAGAAAGAAAATAACCCAGCGGACCATGGAATTCGCGAGCTGACAGACCCTATTCTCCACTAGCCATGCTGATCACCCCGGTGATACATCCAAGGCAGGCCTTTGAGAAGATGGAGCAGAGTTTCGGGTGGGATGTGGACCTGCCACTGGACTATGTCTTCGATAGCGAGCATTTCTACGAGACGCTGGCGCAGGACTGCCCCCAGCTGCGCATCGTGAATGACACCGACCCGACGCTCAACATACCGCCCAAGCAGGATGCTTACAAGCTGCGGCCCAACTCGCTCGTCCAGACGTCCATGGGCGAGCATGTGGTCATGGACCCCAAGGGCTGGCGACCAGCGTTCGACAAGTGGGTCGACGGGACGATTGTCAAGACGAACGGGCATCTGTTGTCTGCACAGCGTCCGGTGCGCATCAGCTTCGACGAGTGGGTGCAGTTCTCCTGGCCCAACGCCTACGACGGCGAAGAGTTCAAGAACGACTGGGGCCACGCAGCCCGCGTTCGGCAGGACATCCGGGAGCTGTCGGCCCGCGCGCTCTATAAGCTGTACAAGAAGATCGGCTGCAGGCAGAGCCCGCACGCCCCGTCCAAGAACTGCTTCCTCGGAGCCCACGTCCGCACAGAGGCGGACGCCAAGGTCGAGGGCTGGGACACGTACGAGACCCAGATGCAGCACGCGCGGGAGCAGCTGGAGACGCACAACCTGAGCGTCCTCTACGTCGCTACCGGCACGGCCAGCGACGTCGACAGGCTCAAGGCCGACCTCAAGGACTTGACCGTCCGCGTCAACGAGACCCATGAGGCTGACGTCCAGGTCCTGCAGAAATGGGATCTTCTCGAGGAGGAGGACATGATGCTGATGGATGGCTTTACGTGGGACCAGATGGCCCTCGTGGACATGGACATCATGCTGAGGGCGAGTCGTTTCGAGGGCATCTGGGAGAGCAGCTGGACGTGGATGATTGCCCTCAAGAGACACGAATGGAGTGAGGATACAAATCCATTTTCTCACCAAGTCACCTTTGAAGATGGACTAAGCAAGTAAGTCTACACAAAACAACCCCAAACCACGGTCAAGATCCCCGTTTCTCATCTCGACGTATTATTTGGTGCTGACTTTTCCCTCCCTTTCTTTCAAATAGGATATATGGCGCAGCAGGAATGCAACCATTCATACCACCCACGATGTATTTATAGTCTCGAGAGACGCATTGTTTTCGAGTATCTATGACGGCCGGCGTTGTTGCTTGAGAGGCGTTTTGGATTTAACATGGAGGGGAATTTGATACACTTTTCTTCATAATTCGAGGCATTCCTTTTTTTTTCCTTCCCCCCCGAAATTCATACACTTCTCTTGAAACTGTTCCTTTCCCTCCTGCAGGGTGACACTGATAGGTGTAGTCTTTGATGACACCGAAGTGGTAGCCTGGCCACACCGTCGAGTGGTAGTCATCCCTTTGTTGTTATGATTACCAGGCCCGAGTCGTGGTCCAGACATGGTCCACAGCCAACGGATCGTCTCCAAGCTCCATTTTGGATTATCAACGGCAGCATGTCTGGCTGGCTGGCTGGCTGGCTGGCTGGCTGGCTGTAAATTGTCAGGTGGTAATTGTAATGTTTGCAGACAACACGGCCATTGCAGCACGATGTGGCATTGTGCATGAGTGGTGTTCAGTGCCCTGTGTGGGCCGAGTCTACGGCTGAGATCCTCCCCAGCACCTCCAACTGTGCACTAGTGACTAATGGAGTAAGATATCGAGTTGAACAAATCATGAAGCCTGGGCCATTGCGCAGTTCGTAAAACATTCAGATGGAATACTTTGCAGCTCTCTTTGATTCGTCAAGCATATGACGATGGTAGTTTGTGATAAAAATATTTATATAGGCACTGATTACAACCTGCTGGTGGTGGTGGTGGTGGTGGTGGTGTTAGGACAAGGCACGCCTCTTTGGTCATGAAAAAGCCTCTCCAGAGGCGCGTTTGGCGTATAAAGTACATGAACTAAGTCGTAATTTGCATCGTTTCCGTGAGGATGATCTAAACGCTACTCACGTACTGTACCATAATACTGTATGTAGATAGGAACAGACCTATTTCGAAGAAAAAAGGCGCCCCACGCAAGGGACGAAACCAGAAAAGCGAAAACGCGGATTGGAATGACGACACGACTCCGGCGTACCTGTTCATGACGACACATGCCCTAGACCGCGCCCAGCCACAGTGGAAGGGAAACGCACAGCTGAAAACGTAGCTTGTAAGAAACATGGCACACGACGCTTCAAATACCGCCGCCGCCGCCTCACGCCTCGTCCTGCACATCAAGGCATCGATCGCATGGGTGTGCTGTCCCAGTTTCCAAGCCTTCCAGCTGTGTACCACAAGACTGAACACGCGCCCTACAATCATTTGGTCCACCACCCCCTTCCAAAAAGAAAAAGAAAAATATTTAAACGAATTGACCAAGACCTCTGGGTGATACGACCGTCAAAATGGTGAAGGAAGACAAGGATGTCATCTCGGAATTCAACGAGTATGTCAACATGACGGCCTCGGAGCTCGAGAAATGGCTGAAGTCGGAAGACTCCAGCAGCGCCGGGCAGTCTAAGGACGGTAGCGAAGGGGGCGAGTCTGTGGGCCAGGACTCTGGGCACAAGATCGTGGAGATCCTCAAAGCCAATCCCGACAAGGACCCGGAAAAGTACACGGAGGAGCAGATCCAGCATATGCGCAAGGTCGCGTCTTACTGCAAGCGCCACCTGGCGCAGGAGTCCTCTGGCAACAATGAGAAGGATGCCGAGGATGTCAAAAAGACCAAGTCTTATATCTCGCTGAAGAACTGGGGTAAGTCTGCTTTCCTTGTCGAAGAAGAGGCAATGTCTTCCATGCTCCACTGCAAGGTTGCTCACGTTGCTTGCAAATAGGTCACGATTTCCTCAAAGCTCAGGGTCAGAGCTCTGGTTCCGCAAACGGCGGTAGCAAGTCTGGTTCTAAGAAGAAGAAGGAGGAGGAGGAGGACAAAGAGGAAGAGAAGGATGACGGTGGTGAGGAAGAAGAAGAAGAGGAGGGCAAGAAAGCCGGTGATAAGAGGAAGAAGTCTGATGGTCAAGACGGCTCGAACAAGAAGAGGGAGACGGGTAGCAAGACGAGGTCGTCCGACAAGAATGCGAGTGAAGATGAAGATGAGAAGAACGGAGGTGATAATAAGAACGGGGCAGCTGAGGAGGAGAAGGAGGGAGAGGAAAACGGCGAGAAGACAAACGCCAAGGGCGGTGCAAAGAATGGCCCTGAGAAGGGAGAGACAGTGAGCTGGAACTGGGGTTCTGGCAACCCGCAGGGCAAGGTTCTTGATGTCAAGGAGGAAAAGTGCGTCCCACAATCTTCCCAGCGTCCTACATTCGCGTTTGTTGATTCCCATGGACAAGAGAGATCAATACTGACGTTTAAACAGGGCGACTATCACGACCAAGCGTGGCAACGAGGTTTCTCGTGATGGAGATCCGGAGGACCCAGCCGTGATTCTGGATGCTGGCAAATCCAAAGCCATCAAGTCAGCTCATGAGCTGAACTAGGACACTAGGATATTCATGGGCTGTGATGTCAGGTTAAAAAGACTGCTCGAACGAGACAACACACATACTTTCAAATCATGATCGGGAAAGTTCATCAATTCTTCTGTGATTGCGACTCGATAGATGCAATGCTTTTTTACCCTCCCGTTTTAACCGATGCATACCTGGCATTTGTGTCCGTCGAAAGTAGTAAGAAAAGAAAGAGCCACTACTTAACGACTCCTTTTCCCCTCCTCCTCGAGAAGAAATCTCAAAGGTCATGTGGGAATTATTGATGTTGGAGTTATCGTCCACTCGATCGGGGGTATGTTCTGCGTGTATCCTGAACTTGGGCTCAAATTGATGCTACTGTAGCTGTGGTGGATACGGCACAGCAGCTTCAGAAGTGGGGAAGAGGGAGGTTCGGAGGGGGGCTCTGACAGGGGAGGCAGGTAAAACTAATGTGCTGTATGGATTTGGTGTACCAGGGTGCAGTCGTTGGGGGCCGGTATAAAGCCAGACATAGGTTCTGGGGTACTAATATGTGCTACATTGCTTAGTGTGTGTAGCGCTACAGCACCTACAATGGATCATGCGTATGTACTGTTACTAGCATATAAGGTGGCCAAGGTACAAAACCTGGGGGGTTGGCTGAAAGCACAGGCCAGGTGGGCCCCAGGGTGGTTGGTTGTATGAATCCGCCCCCCCCCAGCCACTGCCTGCTGCCCACTGTCACCTTTCACCCTGGGTCGCCCGGCCGCCCTCTTTTTCCACGACAACCCGCCGTTTCTCTTCAAGCAGCCCCAGCGAGCCCCGTCAATTCAATCAATTGCGACTTGGGACCTGGACCCGGATCTTGATCAGTGACGATCCCCCCGTTCCAGCTGCGTTGCCACCTGCAGTTTAGCGACCGGATCGGATAGGGCGGGATGAGGACATGAGATAAGAAGACATGGCGAACCCAACCGGTCAGCCATTCTTTGTCCCCAACCCCCCGGACCTGCTGCCCGCCCTCACAAGCACCCTCGCCGCCGTCATCGACCAGCGCGTCAACCAGATTGTCGACCAGCGCCTCGGCGATCTTGACCAGCGTCTTGGTTCTATCGAGACCGTCCTCCGGGCAGAGGGTCGCCTCAACATCGCGCCCCCTCCACCCCGCCAGAGCCCCATGCGCACCCAGCAGCAACAGCAACAACAACAACAACAAGGGCAAAACAATCCCAGCCACTCCCAGCAGCAGCAGCAACAACAATCGTCGCAGTTCCAAGGTAACCCACCGCCGCCACCATCTGCTACCTCTTCTTCCCACAATCAGACTCAGGCCCATGGTCACAGCCATAACCCCAATGGCGTCGACAACGATCCCGTCATGGCCCTCGCCAGCGCCACCAATCCTCCCTCTCTGCAGCAGCACCAACAGCAGCAGCAGCAGCAGCAGCAGCAGCAGCAGCAGCAGCAACAGCAACAACAGCAACAAGGACAGCAGCCGTCGTCGTCGCAACCGTCGCAGCCACAAACGCAGCTCGCCTCCCCTGCTCCCCCTCCGCCAGCTCCCTCGAATTCCGTCGTGGTCCAGGCTCTGCAGCATATCATCCCCATGGAGATCCCACCCGAGGGCTACCCCATCTCCAGCCGCAGCACCATGCAGCTCGAGCTCGACCAGTACACCATCCCCCGCGGCTACTCCATGCGCATGAGCGGCACGCGTGATATGGGCAAGGGGAAGCGCAAGATACGCTGGATCTGCTTCCGTGCTGGCGAGGCCCGCTACAGCGAGGCAAGCAAGACGGCTGGCGTTCCCGAGCGCACCTCCAAGAAGTGCAATTGCCCCTTCAAGTTTGAATGTGTCGAGACGTTCCGCGACAGCAACATGTGGGTCGTCCACCACCATATTACCCCGGGCACCACTGCCCACAACCACCCGCCCTCCGACCCTAGTGAGGACCCCCGCAGCCGCAAGCTGCCGCCTCAGATCGGCCTCGAGGTCGACGGCTGGTTGAGGCAGGGCTGGCAGGTCAGCAAGATCATGACGGAGCTCAAGAACCGCGGCTTCAAGAATGTCTTGAGCCGGGATTTATACAATCGCAGGCAACAACTGAAGAGGGAGGTTGAGACCGATGCTTAGCGTGATCCGGTGAGGAAAGAGAGCGTCCAGACGATGACCACAGGGGAGAACCGGGGGAGAAACTGGAGCCGGAGGACGTCCGCCTCTTTACAACACTGGCAAGATCATCGTATCCAGAGACTCTACTGCCAAACTCGCTAGAATACACAGAACACCCTTCTCCGTGACCTCCTTTCCATAATTTCCAATTCATTCACATGCTGCGGTGTCCATCACGTATAGCAGGAACAGCAAATTACGGAGACGGAGGAGAAGAAGAGGAAGAAGTAGAAGTAGAATACGAAGAAGGGAACGCTGGCCTGAGGTCCGGTATGTGGTTGGATTTATTATATGAAGGACGATGCCCTGTCCCGGATACTGAGGTCATTGACTTGTATTCTTACGTTCAAAGCAATCCATATCCTTTCAAATCAATATCCTTCCTAAGTCTCAATCTAATCTGTCACAACCTACCCTTTTCCGCAATTGTTCCATCAAAGGCTCATGGCGGCGGCAGTCTCTATGAGTTGGGCTCATGAAGCACTTGTATACCAAAGAAGCAAGAGCATTCAGTTCCAGTACCGTTTCCTCGTTCGTCCTCGCTTCGCAGATGAGGAAGCATCGAGGAGGCCAATGCCAACTGTGGGAAAGGTCCATTCGTACAGCTCAATGTAAATGAAAACATGTGTCCATCTATCATAAGAGCCGGAGCTGCAGTCAAGATATGAGACCTCATGATGAGTTTTGAAGTTATTATCTGTGATTCATTAGTTGCTTAGTTGATTAACATTCAAATTTAGCTTTCCATGATCTATCACTGACCTTGTTCCATGGTCAGTTGAGAAAAGCTGAAGGTTTGAATTTTGTCCAACCATGGCCAAGGCAATTTGAGTGCCTTAAAAATGATGTTGGCTAAATCGTGACAGGCCTTGTATATGTATTTCAGTGTCAAATCAATGGCATGCTCGTCTATGTTAAGAGCTTCATTACATGTTGGAACCATCGGTCACAGTGGCGTGGTTGTCAGTGTCCCAGATTCTCTGTTGTGTGTTCTGCTGGTCACCACATCGCTTGAGAGTACAACCTCAGAGTCCAAGCAGTAGAGAGCCAGTCTCACTACGCACCACACATCCCCAAGATTCCCAGTTGTGAAGTTATTGACTAATGGCCAGCCCTTATAACCTGGCATATGGAAACTGTCGCCAATACTGCTGGCCTTTGTATCCTCCCTCTTCCTTTCTCCCCCCCCCCCCCCAATCTCTCTTTGACTTACTTACTCGCTGATTTCCACAACATCATCAGTTCTAACATTGTCACTCGATGATGGAGCTGGCAGCAAACGTCTTCAATTGTCCCTGAGCTTCTCAAGTGAAAAGGATACTGACTCCGGAGCTCTTTGTCAGAGGCTGTTGCCAAAGCTCACTCGCTGCTGGCTCATATCTTTTCAGGACGTGCTATTCTGTTGGCATAAAGGGCACGTCTTGTAACAGCATCCGAACAAGCCTAGAACGTACGAGAATCCATCAAGAAGAGAGCAAGTCCAAATACGTCCCCCAAACAAGCTCAACCGCATTCACCCCAACAAGCCATCACGAGGACCAACGGAATGTTAAACATAGCAACAATGCCTGGCTTCAAGAAGCTGGCCTCGATGGCCTCTGTCCGAAGCTTCCAATCGCTCCTCTTTCGGTACAACGCAGACTCCACCGACGAGGACGAGTGGTCCCATCCACCGTGTCCGCCACGCTCGGTATCATCATCATCAACATCGTCTTCCTTTCTGTCAATGTCCATGACCCTCTTCAGGCTGCCCAAGCGATCCAAGTCTCTCTCCGAGAGGAGGCAAGTCCGTGCCTTCATAGAGGCCGTCCCGCACATCAACACCACGAACAACGTGGCAAAGGGCCGCGACGAGCAGCTACAGGAGACACGCAAGGAGGGCCGCCGAGCAAGCTACCCAGCCCCTCCCAAGGCGCCGGCCATCATGATATCCCTTGACGACGCGCCCGGCTCGCTGCTGTATACACTCGCCCTGCGCACTCTCGACATCGCTGCACGCCAGACGCTCATGTACGCAGACCAGATGCACTACGCCTCCAGCCCTAACCAGCTGCCTCCGCCGTGGAATCACGCCGAGCTGCGAGGCCTGGCCCAGGACTTCCTCACGACCGACAGCGGCTGGGAAGTCCGGTACCGGTGCGAGGGCAGACCGGGCCTTGTATTTCGACTTGAGACAGACAACGAGAAGACAGACTTTTGGAAGTGGCTGGACGAAGAGTGGCACAAGGCCACAGAGTGTTCGCACTCTGAAAAGGGGAGCGGTGGCACGCAGGAGAACAAGGATATGAGGCTAAAGAAGGGCCGCAACAACAACAAGAAGAGGAGGAGAAGGAAGGGCATGGTAAATGGCAGGGGCAAGCATGAGAAGAAAAGCAAAAGCAAAGACAATGACGATCTAGAGCTTGAGGTGCAGAAGGCGGCCGCCGACGCCGAGAGGGAGGAGAGAGCGCTGCGCGCCAACGAGGACGCTGACCTCGAGTGGGTTTGTTTCTCAAAAAAGAAGGGCGTAATGAGGGTCGACTTGACAGTTCACTTCACCTATCTGGCTATGGTTCCTGTTGAGAAGCACGCAAGTGCTGAGGTATGAGTTTGTTGGTGAAGATGCTGGTGATGGTGATGGTGGTGGTGGAGGAGGAGGAGGAGGAGGAGGAGGAGGAGCATGTTAATTAAGTGAGGGCCCACCCTAGAATTGCTCATTGACTTTTTGTTTGTTTAGATAGCATATACTCAGTGAGGGCGTTCAAGTTCTCTTTGTACGGGTTTGCGATAATGTCATTGCAAGATAGCGACTCTCACGATCCCCATGATCTTTCATTACCACCATGGCTAGTTAATACTTGGGCGATTAGCCGGTGAACTAAACACATTGTCCCAACCAGGAAGCCCTTCAAAATGTGATTACTGTGAGGGTTTTATCCAAAAAGGGCAGACTACGAACAAATATGGATTGTCTTGAAATTGAAACTCTCCACCGAAGACGACGATTTTTTCTTCAGAAGAAAAGGGAAAAGTCCATTGCGTGTTCTGGCGTTTTCATAGGGCCCAGCCGTCGTGTCAGTCGGTACTCGTGCCCCTCCAACGAATCCATGGATCAAATGATATGATAGTTTGCCTGCGTTGCAAGACGATTGCGCGCGTGACTGCCCAGCAACACAAGAGGGATTCGAGACAGAAAGGGAGGGGGCAAGGGCGGGCTAGTGTGCTGTGATTGAACAAGAGAACCTCAAAGGACATAGTATGAATTCTTCATGATGCTATACTAATTCGCTATTTTCACCATCGCTCGAACGAGCCGAGGTATCATTTGCCCTGGGGTCATCAAAAGAAGAATTATAATGACGAGACAACGAACTCCATCAGTTCCAAATAACAATTTTCCAGTCGTGGTTCTCGGAAGCAATTTCATCAGGTGCGAGGTTTCCGAGCTCCGGACGTGAAACAAGGCTTGATAGAAGTCATCAAACTATCCTCCCTTCTTGGTCATTTCGAGCCAAGTGAACACCCAAGGGAAAAAATGGAAGAATATATGTCCTCCACCCGAGTCGTAAAATTCGAAAGCATAACGAGGATGCCTCCCAGATACTTTTGTTCATACTTCATAACCCATGACGTGAGTCATTGACAACGTCGCGTGATTTTCTCAGACCGCCTCATCCAAGATAGGAACCGATCATAATCCTTTACTAACATCTCGAAAAGACAAAGAAGAGGTAAAATCCGATGTAGTGCATCCAGTGGATCGAGTGAGTGACTTAGAGTGACGAGACGATGTCTCATCAAGATATGCAACACTCAAGACAAGGATTTCGCCGTGCGCGCTTATGTGTTCTCCTGGCGCCGTAATACGCTGCAATGTGTGCTCGTGTTCATGACACTTCAAACCCAGAACATGCCGCCACCCTTGTTGTCGGTTGCCTGTCAAGTTGAGATAGGTGCCTTCGAACTTCAAGACCAAGGTCCCCAGTTACTGAGGATTGTGTGTATCATGACGCGAACTGCCGAAACAAGCTCTCACTCGAGCGTGCGGACCGACCTCTCCGCTCGTGCCTTCATGTGGTTTGCGTGTGTTTCGAGACACTGAACCATCAACCGTGTGACTGGCCAAACATTAGATTTCGAAAGCATGTGACCTGTAGTTCTCAGGATTTTGACGGCGTAACCGCCTTGTAGACCCGAGACAAAATCCATCTCCAGCTTCTTTCCCCAGCCGTCCAGGAGGTCCTGTACTCTGTGTAACAGTCGGGTGTCTTCTTCCGCGAGGAGCATGATCGCCGGGACCTGGACCAGGTCGACTTGGTCTTGCCCGAGGATACCCAGATACTGACCGATCCTGTCCTGCAAGGTAGCGATCCACTCAGCCAAAACTTGTGCACAATCGAAAGCACACATGGCGGACTGCAAGGGCAGTTCCCGGCTTGTCAGTTCGGCAAATGTGATATTGAACTTGTCGGCCATCAGTAAAGACTCGACTGCGCAGGACGCCGCTTTTCGAAGAAGTTTCTCTCGCCTGGAACTGGCCTGGCGTGACTTTGGTGGCTCTGTTGTGTCTGATGTGAGCTGGGCAGTCTGAGAACCCGTGAGAGCAAGGCCCGTGGAAATCTTTTCTTGCCCACCCGCCAATCGAATGGAAGACGCTTGTTCGGCATGTTGGAAAATGTCATCTCCACGAGCCAATTCCTCAGCGACTCCTTGCCAATCACGCTGCCAGAACTTCTCCTTGGATCGACCGAGATTGACGAAAAGGCGCAGGTACGCCAGGTCCAGCAACGGCATTGCATCCGCAGAAAGCGGTCCTTCGTTGTAAGGATTAGGTCGCTTCAAAGAGTGCTTTGGATTGCTGCTCCAAGCTGCATGCCAAGCCCGCAGAGCAGGCTCAATAGTCCGGTGCATCTTCTCGGTATCCTCATTCGTCCAGGGCCCATTGTGATGATTTTGTCGAGTCTCCCAGATATAGTTGTGCAAGGCATTTATCAGGACGAGGCATCCAAAGGCGCCTGGCCTAAGATTACTCAGTGGCAAACTGTTGGGGTCAAGACCAGACCCGAACGTTTGACCAGCTTGCAAAGACAGCCTTCGCTGGTTCTCGGTCGTGTGCATCAGCTCCGCAAAGGCATCATGAAATGCGACTCGGTCCTGGTGGGCTTTGATGGTGCCACCGCGGGCATTGAAGACAGCGCTGCTCTCAGCCTCGAATAGTTCCTCGTCGCACGGTAAATCTAGACAAATCTCACCATTCGTCAGGTGAGGGGGCTGATTATAGGCAGAGACCAGGAGGCTTGAGAGGAGGAAAATGGCATAGAGCGTGCGCTTCCGCTCTTCCTGGACCTTCCAGCTGAGCCACTCTGCATTTTCGTCGGCCATATCAACCTTGGCGCCCTGGTCCCTGCGGTCGACAGAATCGCTGGGGACGAACATGTCCGCGCCCCGGGCGAGGCTGACGAGTGCGGCACAGTGGGTCGCTGCGATCTCGCCGGCCCGCTTATCCCCACAGTTGTGACCAAAGATAACATTGAGAAGCATCGACTGGACCAGCCATACCGGAGTGTCCATCGAGCCGTCGTGAGAGCCCTGGTCGGATGCTGATCCGGAGTGGCCCTTGCGCCAGTTGGAGAGCCTACACTGTTCCAGGTAAGTTTGGATCATCTTCTTAGCCAGTTCGAACAAATCGTGGGCTCTGTCATGTTCGGCCTCGTACAAAGCCCCGATACCGGCCATGGACAGCGCCAAACACGCAGGACCGGCGAACCCACTGGAGTGACCACTCGTCGTCTTGGTCGGAGTCTCAAAGGACAGCGTCGGGATATGGAGGAACGGAAGATGCGGGTGGAAGTGTCTGATGTAAGCGGTAACAAAGCGTTGAAGGTCTTGGGTGTCTGGGAGGCTGCTGGCAGCATCTGCACTAGGCGACGTGCTCGAGGTGTGCGCTGACAGGGGCGAGGTCTGTAGGGAGGTCGACGGCCTGCGGCTGGCGAGTGTCGTATTCAGCGAGGCGGTGGAGGAGAGGGCACCTAGGATGGCGTGTCTTGTTGAATCAGTGATTGTCGAGACGGGTGAGGTGCCATGATTACTACCATTTATCGAAGTCGGCGTCTCTGGGCCTGCGCCTAGACCTTGATTCAACGCAGTTTTCGCAGTCGCGATACTCATAGCCGGCAAGTCTGCTATGGATGAGGTGCTGGTTGGCAGGTCCACCAAAGAAGTACCCAGTGACGGTGGCGGTGTGAAGAAGTCATTGATGATGTTGGACTGCATAGGGAGCGGTGACGCCGGAGCGCCGCTCATCAGGTCCGGAAAACCGCTGCTAGGAGCGCCGAAGTCCACACCGAAGGGAGCCGTCTGTGGCGAGACCATCGCGGATGCCCACGGCGACGTGGTAGCTGGGATTGCCGAGGCCGGGTTGTTGGAGCCATCGATCATCGCATCACTCATGCCGCCGGGGCTGGCAGTGCTAATGGCAGAGGACGACGAACCGTCGATGGCGTTCTCGTTGCCGCTGGGGAAGAAATCCGTCCCAGTGAAGGGGCTCATGAGGGACAAGCCCTCGAGACCAGACTCAAAGACCCCCTGGCCAGCCAGGTCAGGGTGGCCGTTGAAAGGGGGAGAGGAGATGGGGTCAATATGTGGCGAATTGGGGCCGAAGTGAAGGATATTCGGATTGATGGTAGTCGTGGGATTGCTGAACATGCTGCCCATGGCGTAGTCATTCCCGAAAAACGAATGGGGCGGGGCGGTGCGAAGTCCGCCGCCAAAAGGCAGTCCCTGCGTCTCGACCCTGAGCGGATTGTTGGGGATGCCGCGGTGGCTCATGGCGGCAGACATGCCGGAGAACTGGCTGTCAAAAAAGCTGTGAGCAATGCCACCAAAATCCATCAGGCTGTTGTGGCGGCTGTGGGTCGGCGGCATGCGAGACATGGCAGGCGTAGCAGCAGCCATGAATTGTTGGAGAGAGGCCGGATCGATAGCACTGAGAGTGTTGGCGCGAGGCCTCATCGATGCCGGGTTGACAGAGGCACTACTTGGATTGGCACCGGCGACGCTGTTCTTGCGAGCACGGCTCTGGCCGACAGTCGCGCCGCTCGCGCTCTCTCTGCGGTTGCGAGAACGAGCGGGGGGTGCGGAGGTCTGGTGTAGCTTCTGCTGGTGACGAAGGAGCAAGTCACGCCTGGCAAAACATCGCTTACACTCGGGGCACTCAAAGGGCTTCTCCTTAGTGTGAGAGCGTTCGTGCCTCTTCAGATGTTCCAGCCGGGCAAAGGCGCGCCCGCAGGTGTTGCAGCCATGTGGACGAGGCTTGTCAGTCTTGGGCTGGGGGAAGGCGGGCGCGGTGGCGGGGACCTTGGTGTTCACTGTGATGGTAGAGGCCTCTAAGGAAATCAAATCAAAAAATAGCCCGTATTAGCCCAGATCTGCGCAATCACCGTGGAAAAAGAAGGGGGTTGGGTGAAGTCAAGAGTTCTCGCAGGGAGGGTAGGGCCAGCCAGCACCAACGATAAGATGACGTTCGTGGGTAGCGAGCATACCGGTATCTTCAGGCTGTTGACCGCCCGTATGTTCTGTCTCAGAGGGGGGAGAGTTGCGCATAACAACTGCAGCAGCCATGTGCTCGTGTTTGGGGCCTGCGTCGTTGCCCATGTCTGCGAGAGGGGCGACAATTCCGTCGATGCGGTCTTGCTGGTATCCGCAAGTCGAGAACAGGTCCTCGACAGGCGAACGGGTTCCCTGATGTATATCCGACCAGGTGTGCACACAATGAAGTCCGACGTACGGTGGCGACGAAGTCCTGACGTGTGGTGAGTGGTAGGTCCGTCAGAGAGGAAGTTGGCCAGGTGGATGAATAATGAGGGTCGAGCCGAGGGAGCGACAAAGGTCGGCCGCCTTTATCTCATGTCTTCTGCCAGACGACGACAGTGAATCGGCCAGGCGATTCTGTCCGCTGAGCCGGGATAGAAACACTGATGCTCGTCAACTGGTTGGTGAGTTTGAAAATGGGCCCAGGGTTGTTAGGTATTGGAAGACGACAGGAGGAGGAGGAAAGAAGAAGAAGGGGGGGGGGTTTGAAGGTTGAAGGTGAAGGTGTAGGTCGAGGTGTTTCGGCTGCGGAGGAGGGACCATGGAAGGCACAAGACGAATTGGAGACTGGTGGGAGAGCTTGTTCTCTTCAGGACCCTCGTTCCGGGTACGTACCCAGTGCAGGGTGTACTTTGTACTATCACATACGCTACCACACATCGACAGTGCCCCTCCAGCAGTACCAATCGTCGTTGTATTCTACTGTACGGGGTCTGGGTCCGGGTACCGCAGTTGTTCCCGGGCCCCCTGTCCATTCGGCGTCTCTAGCGCAGGCATCTCTAGCCCCTGACCCTGAACGCCGCAAGGTCCAGGCTTTCACATAAGCTACACATTGCCGTAGTATGTAGTGCATACCAGGAAGTATTTCCTTCAGCTTCCGTGGATGGGAGGAAGTTTAGGCTGGGCAATTTGGATGGCTACCTTGGTGATCAGCGGTAGCCCAGATGAGAAAGACATTATTAAGTTTTGTGATTTAGAGATCCCTAGGGTTGTTGGCCGCGTAGCAATACGATGGTACCATAACACACTATGGTACTCTCTGTATGCACTGCACCGCACCGGACGAGAAATGGCTCAGGCGCTGGTGGGGGCCCACTGAGCACGGTACCATAGAACCTGAAGCAGAGCCAAGCCCCACCCGATCTGCGACGGTTGGTTGTAGTTGTGTCCGTCGTCAAGGGCGAGAATACTATGGTACGGTAGCATACATAGTACAGACAGACCATGTACTGCATATTTATTAGTTTTTATGGTGGTATCACTTACGACCACCAGAACGGTCGAAGATGCCCCCATTACACTTCTGCCCCAGCCCGTCCCGTTCATTTCCATACCATCGTCTTCGATTTGTCATACAATCTTGCATCTGATGCCCCTACGATGTCGTCGTCGCACAGTGCACCCACCGTGCCTGAGTACGTCTGTCAGGCTGGCCTTGGTGCGATGGAGCCTCGCAAGAACAAACAGACCTGAGACCGAACCACTCGGACACACAGGTTATGACACATGCATAACCCGTAGCCAAGTGCAGCATTACCTACACTTCGCACAGTGCTTGGCCTTCGATTGAAACTCTAGCAGCCGGCTCAACAGCACAGTTTCTGTCGTGCAGCACAAGACAGGCAAGCTCCCTCTTGCTTCGTGACATGCTCGACCTATCGACAATCTCTCAGGACGACATCCTTCACACAAGGCTGTCACGTCCTCACCGCCGCGCCTCACTTAGTCACCCTTTGTTCGAGTGCTGTGGTCCTATTGTTACGTGGCAAATTCAGACAGCAGAACGAGGCTGGTCGAATCCTGACAATAATTACTTGGTATGCTGACGTCAACAGCCTGACGCTCCATCAGCCCATCACCGCAGATGTGCCTCCCATCTGACGGAGCAGGCCTTTATGGTGTGCGTTGCCGCCTAGGTGCGAGGACCGGAGCCCAACCACCCTCCTTTCGTCACGCCCTTCTCACACCTCTGCTGCATGCTGCATGCCCGCCACAGCCTGCTCGTCGTCTGATTGCTCAGCTCACCGCTTGTGGGCCTCCTTTTAGACTAGCGCTGCTGGCCATAGCTGCGGCCTTTGCCAATGGTACTAGTGACCGACCACCGTCAAGCTTGCTGAGCATGGGATCTGCTTTTACGCTGCGTCGGCCTCTTGACGGAGCAGTCCTGCATCGCGGCACACGTCCCCTCGCCCAGCTCTGGGACAGACATCGAAAGCGCAAACGCGGAGCGGTCTTAAAAGTTGAGAAGAACAGTCCAAACAGCAAACGAGTCCTAAATATCTGCGCGATGAGCTGCCTCTCGCACGTCAGGCTGCCTATAATAACAGCTGGTTGGCTGGCTTTTTGGCGGCTGGCTGGTCAGCCTTTCCATCTGTATGTAGCACAAGTGCACACGCATCAAGCCATCGGTCAACCTCGGACGCAATGATGACCTGCAATCATTGCCATATCTGGTAACCCGGTCAGCAGTCAGTCGTGGCTGGCCGCAAGGCTACCTGCTGTTGCTAAGCTAGCAATCAACTGCTTCTTAGTGAGAGGCCCTTCACAACGGACACACGCTCGCCCCCTGTAGATCACCAAGTGGACGAGCCATGAGTCTTAAGTTCACCATGCCAACATTGGCCCGTGCTTGAGAGGTTAACGACATTATCCCCTTGTAGGATACAACACCCGTTGAGAGAAAGCGCGCGACCTAGATCAATATACCTGACCCGGAAGGAGCTTGGGTCCGATGGCGGCCAAACATTACCGCGAGGGATCAGCACAAAGAAGTAACTATTAACGCCGCGTGGCTTCCCGCGCGCCGTTTTGTGTACAGCTTCTTCGCTGCTCCGTCCACCCTGCTGCTTCTGAGCACGAGTGGCCAGCCCAATCTCTGAGGGTTAACATTACGATCACCAGCCGAACACATAGGTATCATCCGCAGGGGAAACTGCTTCACGCAAATTCTGGATTGGCTGTGTGCTGGGGGTCCAAGCTACGAGTGTGCCGTCGGACAATTTCAAAGCAGCACTACGGTGTACCGACAGTGGCCATGGGATTTGATTCCTTGTCATCTTGTTAAGAGAGAGCAGATGAGACCTGGCACCAAGACAAACGAACAAACTGACCAACCACACTCCAAACATCGGACAAGTCTGCACAAGCAACCCTACAACAATCTCACGCGACCTTCGCACAGGCGGGCTGTGTATAGGTCCAGGTGTGTGGGTATGTGAGCCGGCCAGAGTGCATTGGTGCTTCTTCCCCAGAATTGCCTGGCCATCCCCTGCTTGTATGGCAACATTCGGGAAGATGGGGTTCGTGAGCCTCGAGCCGACTCGGCGAGGCAGCCCAGGCGCTGCTGACAGATCTCACCAGAGACCAATGGTGAGTCCAAGTATACGAGCTGCTGTGCCGGTTCAGCCATTCCAATCAATCACACAAAAGCTGAGAGCGCCAACGGCGCCGAGCCGAGTTGGTTAGCAACGGCTTAGTGACCTAGCCTCGACGCCTCTGCGGACCCCAGAAGATGCAGCAGGCCTCGCCTCGATGCAAAGAACAATAGTCATCCACATTACAGGAGATAGGGAGAGCAAGGAGGGGAGGGGTTGTTGCAATGGTGTCACGCTCTCTGTGGCATTGTATTCGCCTCAAGAGGCAAGAAATGCAAGCTGACGTCTGGACTGGTCCAGGACCCATCCGAGAGAATCGAGCCTGGCAGCCCAACGCAGAAACTGCAACTTCGCACTGTCACACCAACTTTTCCTAGAAGGCTCTCTCCTTGAATACTGCCATACGATGTTATGTCATGTCATGTAACACGCGCTGGACAAGAAGCTCGCTGGCTCGGAGCCACCCTAGCAGGTATGTCCAATTCCCACTCCAAGAAGGCGGACAAGGATCGGCAGCACACCCTGTTTGCCGTAAAAGGACGCAATGTGCTCTTCTCTTGCACTGGCTTTCCTGCCGAAAGAGCCTCCGATGATATAGGTGCCATTTGTTAGCTATTCTTTTTCTCTATGATGTCGGCTCATAATCCCGTGATGCTCTCCTCTCCCTTTCCATAGGCAATGAAGAGGCCCAGACACCCGGCCTCTTTGATTCGTCTTCGGGCCGCTCCTACGATGCATCATATTCGGCTTCGCCCCACAGTGTCACAGATCATTACTCACAGCGGCCCCTGATCATGGGCAGCCCCATCGCTTCCATGGGTCTTCCATTTGCTTCGAGCTCATAGGCAGTGCGATTTGAAGGTGGGCTTGCAGTACTATGGTATAGCACATTGTGGGCGCTTATCGGGGCTTGTCGGGGCTCATTATGATGCAGTTCAAGCTTGCCTCCCAAGCCTGCATGTGCATGACCTGGGACTCCTCCATCCTGGAGCGAGGAAGAGGGTGGGCAACCTGCCGGAAGCTCTGGTCTTAGGTGCTGGTACTACTACTAGACCATGTCGTGTCATGGAGGGGCAAAATATGCACCAGAAGCGCGAAGGGGAATGAGGAGATGGTCTGCACAAAGCTTCTGCAAAATCCTCGGAAAGACAATCGCAGCATCTGACGAAACACACCGACAAAGTATGAGCAATTGGGGAATGAAACACCAGGGTATCTCAACAGCAAACTTGTCAAGATGCGACATCTGATCTCTCTTGGGATGCGGCAGGGTCGTCCAATCTCAATAATCGCAGGCCCGGAGCTGCCCCTCCATCTATCTGAGGTACGATACGGCTTGATAAGCCCACCCGTGAGAGGAGCTCTGCCCCTCGACCCCTCCATGCCCCTCCATGATGAGGGCAGCATGCGAGGAGCTCGATCTGCCTGGTGATCCGTGCTGGCTGCTTACGGACAGGGGTCTGTCGGCCAATCAGGCCGCCCGTTGAACCCCTGTTCCTACCAAACCCCCAAGGTATCTCCGGTCAGGGTCAGGTGCGTGACCGGTGGGATTGTCTCCACACAGTGCCCAGGGATACGAGCATGCCTGCTCGAACCCCTCCAAAAGTCACCATCGCCCAGGATCATGACTAGACCTCGCAGAAGGGCCCCTTCACAGCAGCAGCCTGTCGGTCGACCCATGAAGGGGTCTGCCCGTCCTCCAGAGTATTCCCGTTAGCGCAGCCCTTGCC